GATGAAAAGAACTCCACCTCGGCGGCCTCGGCGTGGAAAGGTCACGTGGGCTTTGTAACTCCAACCATGACAAAAGCCTCCTTGTTTCCAGCCAGTGAGGACACGATATGCTTGATGTGCGGGCCTCCGGTGATGTTAGAGAAAGCTTGCCTGCCAGCCTTGCAAAGCATGGGCTACGAGGATTCCAACATCTTTTCATTCTGAGGTCACCGGTAGCTGCAGTAGCTTGCATGGGGCGCGAAGTTCGCTTCTGATTTTCCGGGTTCCAGCAAATTTGTAGACTTGTGTCTCTCCAAAGGATGGCACAGCTGGGGCCTAAGCAACCTTGGCATGGAGTGCAAGGTTGCAGGCGCACACGACCAACTTGCTCAATGATGGCAACAATTCGGGAAGGTCAGTGCGGATGCGCAGGGTTTTTTCGACGCTTTGATGTCTTCATGACTTATGACTGCCTTGCAGCAATTTAGGCCCAGATAGAACTCCTGTGGGAACTTGTAAGCATGACAGACTTCAAGTTGCAAGTTGAAGGTGGACGAAACAAGGCAAGCTCTGCATTTGTGGCATCAGCACAACCGCACCTGCGGTTGTCTTGGGAAGTGCACCATCTCTTCTTCCTTGCCTTCTTTTCTTCATTTTGCAGTTTGTGTGGCCGACACGGACCGGCGAGCCGCGCTCCATCGGCTGCCAAACACTAGGCAAGCCGAATCTCTCAACAGGATCCTTTTTTTTTCTCTTGACTCTCTGGGGGCCTGCCATCCCTTGCCGAGTGCGAAGCTGCAGAGGGCACTAACATCTTTTTATGTTCCATTGCTGCTGGGGTGCAGCCTGTGTAGGCTTGGAAGTGCAACGTTCTGCCCCTGCTAAATGTCGGGTGCAGCATTCTGCATCATTCAGTGCGGAGTTCGATCAAATAAATGCAGGAAGCTGGCACTGGGATCTTCGCAGGGGCGGGGCTCATGGCTAAGCGAAGCTTCCTTTCGGGTTGCTGATTCTTGAGGCTTCGAATTGTTGCATCCACTTTGGGCCTTCTGATTGCTTCTGGTTGATTCACAGTTAAGCAATGATGTCGAAGAGGCCGTATTCGTCAACAAGGGGGGGGGGGGAAGGTGCAAATTCTGTGATTTACCCAGGTCTCGGTAGATAGTGGTCGGCCGGTGGTGGGCAGGGAAGCGTGGTTTCGCTTGAGCCCCTACCGGAAGCGTTCTGTGATCCGGTTCGACATTCAACCAGACATCAAAACCGCAATCTCCTGATTACTTGCCACTTGGTTGCTTGCCAGTGCGCCAGGTTTCGAAATATCCACTCTCTCGGTGAGCACCTTGTGAGCAGCTGCAGCCGAGCGCATGGCGAGCATGTGGCGCAAAATGTGCACAAAGACTCTGAGTTCCCTGTGGTGCTGGGTGTGCTCAGCAAGTTTCAAAGAGACTTGCAGGCCCCTTTTAATTTCAGCTCCTGCCTGAATCATGCACTCGTGTTGTACAGCTTGAATCGCCGTGCTTGTTCACTTTTCATTTTGGCAGGGCTGCTGTGTTGCCGAAGGCAGCAACAGCCAAGTCTTAAGGGGCGGCCGCGCTCGTGAGTTTTCAAGATGTTTTAATTCTTAGTCTCAGCAATACCCCACAGGCTACCGCCTCAAGGGACACGAAAATCTCGAATCATGATGACCTCGAGGCACTACTCTGTGGCAGCCTTGCATCTCTGTAACCAGCGCTTCTTCTTTCAAGGTGGTAAAGCTCTAGATCAGCCAGTCAGGGTTGAGCCCATGACACGAGAAGTAGCTTTCCACCAGCTTTGCTGTGGTAATGCCATCCTCGAAATTGCAGTGCATTCTCTTACTGCATATGGTCTCATGAGCACCGCATATTATGGTCGCGCTGTTCCACTAGCTTTGCGGCGGTTCGCCACATGGCTGAGGGAAGGGGGACGGTTACGGCTTGGTTGCTCGAGAAAGCCAAGCACTTGACAAGGTTACCGTCCTATTTCAAAGCTTCGCTTTCCCGAAGGGGGCATACGGTATAAGGAGGAGCATTTGCAGGAAGTGGGTTGGGACATCCCAATGCATTCGGGATATCGAGCTCAGTTCAGGCTCAATGCTAACTCGTGGCAGGCGGTATACATGTAAAGTTCAGGGTCCTGGTACATTAGGGATTAGGGTTTCTACTACGAGAAGTGTTTGCGATTTGAGCTGCTTGAGCTACGATCAGGGAAACCAGTCGTGGTTGCTTACTGTGCAAAAGTGCGGTGGCAAGCGCATATCGTGCACATGCCATTGGCAGCAACGTAGCGGCGGAGTTAATCGCGACCGCGCAGCGGAAGCCTAGTCTTGGTGGAACACCATTTACGTTGGAATGTAATCAAATTTTCTCAGGTTTTTTGCAGTATTTTGTTTGAGAGGCACTGCTCAAGCGCACTGGCTTTACCACTAGAGATAGTAACCCTATAACACATGTGGCATTTTTCATTTCACACCAAGACAGACCTCAAAGCACAAACTGTTTGCCGCAATCCCAAACCCTAAAAGGAGATGTTGGTGAGCAAGCTCCCGACGTCAAAAGGAGATCTTGCCAACCCCAAACCGTAAGAGGAGATGTCGATGTTGGTGAGAGAGAGGCCGGACCCTAAAACGGAGGTGCATGGCTGAGCTGTGGCAGGTGGTTGTTTGTTTGAGGGTCTGGGCAGGACAATTGTTCCGAGAGTAGCAGTGCTAGCCGACTTCCGCAGGCCCAGCAGCCTGACAGGGCACCTCGAAGGCTCGCTGCCAGACAAGAAGCAGAATAACTAGAGGCACAGTGCAAAAAACACAACAGGCACGGAGCGGGCACAAAACTGCGAAAGTGCGCATACTCTTGAAAGGGCCACTGCCAGCCATGGAACCTCGATTACCATCCCACACCTGTAAAAACTAGCCTGTCTCAGGACGGTCTAAACCCAGCAGACGGTTCCTGTTGTCGGAGAGTTTGGGACTTGTGCACCTCACTGAAGACTTGTTTGACTCTTGTCAAAGGCATTTAGACGGTTTGGGTGTTCGAAGAAGGGCGGGAGAGTATGGACCGGTTTGGGTTCAGTGCCGCTGTAGCTGAATACTTCTCAGGGCGAGCATGGGTTAGGGGCCTGCGCAACCCGCGGTCGGGTTTGTTGAAGCGTTCAAGGCCAAGTTGCCATGCTGGCTCCATGGGCCTGGCGGCCGCCGGATCCAGGACCAGCCCGTGAATGCAATTTCTGCAAGAAATCATACACAGCTACAGGACCTAAAACTTCCAGATGACCTTCCAACAGGTTTCACTGGGATCGCGGGTTCCTGGAGCAGCTTGTAGACAGCTTTCGACCCTGCTCAGGTGTGCATGTAGTCATGCTCATGACCCGACGGAAGCACATCGAGCATGCAGACTCTTGGCTAGGCGTCTGTGACTAAGACGTTGCGCACGCCTGGTCGGCAACCTGGGCAGGGGTGCGCACGGCTTGGGAGCGCCTCCTCATGGAACGCAGCCTCGCGCTCAAGGCCGGAGAACGGCCTGCACAGTTGCAGCCGTTGGCTGAGACTAGGCGATGAAAATGTAGTTTAGACCAAATACACAAACGTCCGTGCAGTGGTGCACCAAAGACACTTACTCCAGCTAATGGCAACAATGTGCAAGATAAGGGGCTGGCATCCGGTGGGTGACGTAAATCGCCGTGCTGCGTAGTATGCCCCCCCCCGCATTTCTGCACTGCTGCACTGTTTTGGAACCAGTAACTGGTTTTGAAACCCGCCGAAAGTTTATAAACACAGGCAAAGTTTATAAACCCGTGATCGGAATGAGGGTGGACCAAAGCGTATAAACAAGCTTGAATTCGCGTGTCCTGGTGTCCAAGTCGAAGCCAACACAAGACATGCAGTATCTAAGTCTCCATGGATGATTATGGATGTTTCTCACACTACTCCTTCCAACACTTAGCATCCCGCTACAGAGGCCACGATTTCGTTGCGTTCCTCACCATCTCTACAAACCTAGTTTGGAGACTCACCCAGGAAGTTGCAAATCCTGATTACTTGCACGTGGCATTGAATCAATCCATGCTTTCAGAATGCTGACCAGCTGAAGCCCGTACACACAACAGTAACCTCGTCGAAGCCCTGTTACAATGTGCTAAAATCGTTGCCAAGCATCCGTCGATACATTTTCGTATTTAATACCTGTGTGACTGCTGTCCAAACTCTAAACCTTTGTAGATTCAATTTACTATAAATGCGCCTTTAGTCATTAGTTTGGTTCAGTCATGCCCTACGGCGAATTAGATTTTGGAACTAAGAGTGTTCAATATGTACTGTATTGCCGCAATCCCGTTAGAGCGTCTGTTTTTTCTAAGCATCGCATTGCTATGGAGTTTTGCTACATACAGCTCTCAGTAACATATCCTTGTGCCCGCATGCGATTGTTTTTAAGCGCTGGTATATCCGGTATATGCGAGCATTTGGGTGTTGCATTCCTTATTTCTGTATAATGACAACCCCATGCTAAGTTGTAAAACTTGCGTACTCCACGCCTAGCAAACGTTGTATAGTGTTTCTCCTGTGGGACAATATACGTACAGTGTCGCTTGGCTTGACACTGCTTCTATACACCGAGTGACGAAACCTTTGCTTCTCGTATCAGGATACCGGAACCATCACGTAGAGCCGTCTGCGAAAGCCACATGTAGCTTGTCGGTATTGTGAGAGCATAAGCAGTCTGCAGGATGTAAATTAGTTTGTCCTTACGATGAGTTCGTATCAGCTTTATCTAGTGCATGTTCTGTCTACTTTGCTAGTCCCGCGCCCTGCCACATTTATGTTTAATGTGCACACACTCTGGAGCCTTATTAGAAGCAATTGTCCCAGTCCAGAACGTGATTCCTCGTGTTAGAATCAAATGGTAAAACGCACCGCGTCACTCCTCCCGAAAGAGAGTTCGTCCTCACGTATTGGCAATAGTGTTGCTAGGAGCCAAGCGAGGAAACCTAAATGTTTGTAAGCTGCAAATTCTGCGTGCTCGCCAAACATATTCTGATCAGTCCCGTCTCATCGCAATGCTGCTTCCAAGGAACGATGTTTGGACAGCGTTGCAACCAACTCGTCTATGTACCCAGTGATGAAACCTGACCAAGTTGTCAACAATAAGTCCTGTTTTCTCAATTGTCTGTGCAGCTTGATATTCCAATACTGATAACATGTATCGAGCTACTGTTACCTCGATAGAAGCCACGTCATGTTCCACACCATGATTCCTGGATGAGTGACATGTAAGTGTGTATTCGCTATCGATTGCCTTCTCTCTTGTAAACTCCATGTACAGGAACGAGCAGATCATTGGAAATATCCTGCAGCATGCTAAAGTCGCCGGAATACGCATATGGTCCCGGCAATATGCGAACTCCGATGCATCCTTGCTGAAGACACGAAATACTGCCGGATACCTAGGACCATCAGTTCTCGTGGTGCATGCTTAGCTTCATTGCAGTCGCAGTCGTCCTGAAACGCCTGAACAGTCGAACTTGTCGAATTAGGTGTTGATGAAGTACTGATGAGATAGATTTATTTCGTACTTTTTATGGTGCAGCGGGACCCTACCAAGTTTTGTGAGCCACAACACTGCTTCATAGACCCAGGTTTCTCGAACCTTCAAGCATGCAGTTTACCAATCTGACGGGTAGGGCCCGGCAGCCATGAAGCAAACAGATAATTTGAACCATTTCACCAGTCGCTTTGATCTTTCGAGTGGTTTAGTACCCAAGCTACCCTTCTTGTGCGGTGAGGAGGATCTACCATATGGGGTGATTACGCACCCTAGACCATGTCACCAATTCACCATTTCACAAACCCACCATTTCATCAATTGGTTGAGCCCTATGTTTAAACCCCTGAACCATTTCACCAATTAGTTGGCGCTTTGAAAGCCCAGAAACTATGTCACCAATTAGTTTGGCCATTTGTCTAAGCCCATAAACATTTCACCAATTAGCTTGGCCCTAACCCATAAACCATTGCACCATTTCACCATTCATGTCCCCCGTATGGTCAGACCTCCTCACTTTCATAGAGCCGAACTAACGGGTGAAATGGCCAGATGGTTTATTGGATTGGGCCAAGCTCATTGATGAAATGGTTTAAGCGTTAGGGCCAACCGGTGAAATGGCTTGAGTTTAGACACAGGGCCAAACTACCTGGTGAATGGTGAAATGGTGAATTGGTGAGGGGTCCTAGCCATATGGGGCAAGAAACGGTGAAATGGTGAACTGGTTGAGGGGGTTTTGGAGGCAGCCAGGAAATCCAGGGGGGAGATTACCCAAATCACCACATGTGCTAAGTTTAGTTTATGATCATGACTGGTGCTGATGGCCCTACCTCCATCCGCTTGCATTCTTCTTAAGCGTGATGTCCAGGGCGAGATGCAGATGTACATTTGTTGCTTGCTGCCATGGCCGCTTGGCACAGTGCGTCTGTGCCGTCTGCCCGATCTGCGCTGTCTGCACTTTGCTCAGGTTCTGGCCCTTGCGATGGATGTGGCGGTATCGAATTCGATCATGCCTTGGAGTCAACCCATGTGGCAGTTCATTTCTTCCAAAATTTCTTGCTTGTATGGAATGCATGAGGACATTGGGCCAGCCTGCTGCTAGAGGAAGAACATACACAGGCTGAAAGCTCGCTTTTCCAAATTGTGGGGTCGGGTGACCACTGGCGTATGGCGGCAGAGGTCCACATCATCTCAACAGCTTCGTGGTCCAGAGATTTCTTTCAGCGAATGTGCAGGGCCTGAGATGACCCGTGCTGCACCTGCAAGCTGCCTGTTATTGCATGTCGCTATCTTGTAGCTATAGGCACATACACGACGACGGGCGAGCCTACACGATGGTGGCTGCAGCCTAAGTCGCAGGGATTTGTTTTCAGGTCGGCATTCTCGTAGCTTCTCCATTCAAAGGCAGAGATGTTTCATGCGTGTGACCGGGACCGGAGGATGCCTCCGCCAGAGATTAGCGACAAGCTGCGATATGAGGTCCGACACGATGGCGAGATTCTGTGGGAGGAAGCCTCGGTTCTTTCATCTCTTCGGCAGATGAAACCGTGAGACAAGCCTTTGCAAGGCCGGACACGACAAGTTCCAGCCTCTTCAAGAGCGCGCATCGAGCTCTGAGGGGTCTTTAAGTCGGATGACTTCGTTTGAGCATACGGACATGCACACACACACACACACATGTACGCACACATACACCTCTATCTCCGCTCTCTTGCAAGGAGATGGTAAGCGTGGTGGACAAAGAGTGCCAGCCCAGGGCTTGGCTCGAGGCTTCAGGTCAAGCAGCTTTTCTTGCGATCCGACGCTGTCTCGTCCTTTTGCATCTTGAGCTTCAGGTGGAGGGCAGACGAAGCTCAGAAGTTACTTGCAGGTGGAGGTGTTGAAGCAATCGATTCTCCCAAGGACGAATCAGCTTTCGAACCGGAAAAAGCTGCGCCACGTTCGCTGAGACATGTTAGCTAGGCTTTGTTGTTTCGAGACATCCCTGCTAGCTTGTGGAAGCGACTTCAATGCACGCATCAGAATCAGTGCAGCAGTAGGCGTGCACACAAATCCCATATGTTTCTGCTAGCAGCGCCCACTGATGTCAGCGTGCCGATTTTTGCTGGGACCTCGTATCGGACAGGGCGTGCTGAGACAGTCAGGGCTCTACCCCTTTGCAGACAGAGATGTGCGACGGTGCTGGCATTGGGCACGTCTTGTGCAGGCAGAATCAGCAAACGCAAGGGTTGTGCACAATGCATCAGAAAGGTTTCTGTGACGGATGAGCCACCTCCAGTAGAGCATCCGGTTTCGGAGCCTGTGACGAAGCAATACCTCCTGCGTGCTCGACAGTGCCCACATGATCGTGCTCGCATGCAGCAACATTTTTTGGATTTGATTGCAGACAAAGGGCTGCAGTTGTATGCAAAGCAAGAGGAAGCCATCTATGCTGTCTTTGGAAACTCCCACGTTGTACTCAGCACACCAACTGGCAGTGGCAAGTCCCTCGTGGCGTCGGCCATGCTGTTCCGCTCAATTGCCGAGGGCAAGAGAGCCTATTACACGTGCCCGGTGAAAGCCTTGGTTAGCGAAAAGTTCTTTTCCTTGTGCCATGACTTCGGGCCGGATTTGATCGGGATGGCAACAGGTGAGGTTTCAATCAACCCCACTGCTCCTGTGATTTGCTGTACGGCTGAAGTTTTAGCCAACGTGGCTCTGCGAGATGGACCTGCCGCAGAGCTTAGCTACGCTGTCATGGACGAGTTCCACTTCTTTGACGACAAGGGCCGTGGCTATGCATGGGAAGTTCCTCTCTTCAGGCTGCCACACGTGACGTTTCTGCTCATGTCTGCAACGATGGGAGACAATCCGGCCTTGTATGCGAACCTTACGGCATACACAGGCCGCAATGTGGAGACGATAACATCAACAGACCGTCCGGTTCCACTTGACTGGTCCTACCTTTTCGAGACAGCAAAAGATGCCATTGACGAGTTGGTCGCCTCGGGACGCACACCCGTGTATGCGGTTTGCTTTACCCAGCAAGATGCGGCTACCTTGGCACAATCACTGGTCTGCAAAGAACTCGCGCCGAGTGAGCAAAGAAAGGAGAAATTGGCAGAGCAGTTCAAGGACATGGAGTTTGACACGCCTTACGGGGACAGATTGAGGCAGCTTCTCATAAATGGTATCGGCTTGCACCACGCCGGGTTGCTTCCCAAGTACCGGCGCCTCGTAGAGCAGATGGCCCAAGCGGGGTTGCTTACGTGTATCTGTGGTACCGACACCCTCGGAGTCGGAGTCAATGTGCCCATCCGAAGCGTACTGTTCACGCAGCTTTGTAAATACGACGGTGAAGCAACTGTTCTCGTGACCCCTCGTCAGTTTCATCAGATTGCAGGAAGGGCCGGAAGGAGAGGGTACGACACCAAAGGCAGTGTAGTGGCGGTGCATCCTGCCCACGAAGTGTACAATAAAAAGCTGCAAGAACAGATCAAGGTTGCAGAAAACAAGAAGGAGCGCGAGCGGCTAAAGAGGCGGCTCCGGTCTGCGAAGAACAACTTCGTCGATTGGGACGAGGATACGTTTGCAAAGCTGCGAACATCATCCCCGGCACCGCTCCGGTCACGCTTTCAGCTTAGCCAGGGCCATGTGCTAAGCCTTTTGCAAGGTGCTCAGGAGCACGGTCGGGACGGACTTGCTGAGGTTCATGAGCTTATTTCTTTGTCCCTATGTGGCAAGAAGAACAAAGAGCACTTGGCTCAGCAAGTGGACCAGTACATACAGGCACTGTCCGGCGCAGGGCTCATCGTAAGGCAGGGAGATGTACTGCAAGCTGATAGTACCTTACAGCGCGATTTTCTCTTGATGGAAGACGTCTCCCTCTTCTTAGTGGACGTTTTGCCTCTGCTGCAGTGGGGCTTTGCTGGAGACAACTGGAAGCTAGCCAAAGCAGTCCTTTCAGTGGTGGAAGCCATCTGCGAGGAACCGATAGCAGTGGTGCGTGCGCAGGCAGGTAGTCGAATGTCAAAGCTACAGCACAAGCTCGTGGCTTTCCCCTGCTTGTGTGAACAGTTGCATTCAGCGACAGGCCTGAGTTGGAAGGATGATGAAGGTGTTTTGGATCAGGTGTTGCACTGATGTGAGTGCAAGTGTAGAAAATCCGAATTCGTGTAGGTGTCAAAACTCACACTTGGAAGATTGATATGCTCGTGTAGAGGAGACCGCCGCAGACCAGGATACCAGGATCAGAAACTGTCGCAAAAGGGCGCCGGGCATAGATGTTGCGAAGTTCGGGCTGTCGCGTTGCCCCCAACAATAACAACTTCGCGCTTACTTGTGCATGAGAAAGCATGTGAAACCCCGACAGAGCGGAGAGCTGTGCAGGCACGTGCCAAACAGCGGAAGCAGCCGCGGTTGCCTTGTGAAGACGTGCTGTGGCCTGCCTTCGAGAACTTCTTGAAGCGACACCCATGGGTGTCACGTGATGCTTTGAAGCCAAAAGCAATTGCACTGGAAATGTTCGAGGCCCAGATGTCGTTTTCAGATTTCATCAAGAAGCTAAGCCCACTCGACAAGTCCAAGCGCGTGCTCCAGCAAGAAGGCTTACTTTTGCGCTTTTTATCGCAAGTGCACAAGACCATGAAGCACAACGTACCTGATGATTTCAAAACAGATGAGGTGCTTGAGATCGAAGCATTCCTGCTGGCAGCAATAAATGGCACGGACTCGAGTTTGTTGCGTGAATGGGAGGCCTTGAAGGAGCTGGAATCAGTTAATTTCGAGGATGAGACAGGGGTGGAAGCACTTGCTTCCGCAGAGCAAAGCTTGACAGCCGCATCTGCAAGCAGAGCATTTACTGGCAATGCTCCAGAAACGGAGAGTGAATTTCGGTTTCTGCAGGCAAGAGCTCGAGTGGAAGCTCAGAGATTTGCACGGCATTTAGCAAGGGGCAGATGGAAAGAAGCTTCAAAGTCACTCCGGCAGGACACGGATGATGTTTGGGATGCTGACTCTCTTCGTGAGCATATCATTGCAGAAGGCCGCAGGCCTTTTGCAAAAGACTCTTACAGTATTCAAATCGAGATGGACACTCTGGAACACGGGCTACAAGTCTTCGGTGAAATCTTGGATGAAGAGAGTCGGACCGCTTTACCATGGCTGGAGTTTGAAGTGGGCGCACCGTGGCCCTCGAACAGCTTCGAGGCATTGTTCCAGCTGCAGTCTCTCGACTGAAAAGAGAAGCCCTGCGCGGCAACTGCCATGTGCAGGTTTGCGAACTTGGGGCTGCATGAGTCTGATGCAGCCGTGTTGGTCCAAGCTGCCACGTAAACTTGGTGGCCGTCTTTGTGGAAGTACTTGGGCAAAATCAGGACTTAGAGTAACTCTAACTCTATGACTAGGCATTGAGCATGATGCCGAGCTTCTGTGCTCGACAGAGATGCTGATCGAAAGCTGCAGCAGCCCACAAAGGCCAACATGCTGCCCAAAGGGGCCTTCGTCGACGGTAAACGCTGTATGTGCAGGGTCAGATGGAAAGCTCCACTGCAGAGCTTGGCGTCGGATGGCCAATAGAGCTGGTAATCGGACGCATTCTTGCACGTCGGAACTCGCTCGCAGCTTAGGTCACAGGAGAAGCATTGCAGCTACTTCAAGAGCAGCTCGGACTTTCACTGCGCCCAGCTACTTCAGCCATCAAAGCTGTGCGCAGACGCTCGGGGTTGCGAGCCACTGCAGACAAGGTTGAAGAAGCGGCGGCAGGACTTCCTGCTGCAGATCTTGACATTCTCCAGTTTTGAGCGAAAAGGTCTTTGGCCAGCGTCAGGTGTTTCAATTCTGCAAGCTTGGCTCGCAGGAGTGTTCGCATGTCAAGCACGTCAACACCCTGCTGCATCAGGACAGGATCTTGAAAACCGTTCGCTTTGTGCCTCTTTGTGCGCATTCGACACTCCTAGCAATTTCCGCGTTGAGGCGATTGAGCAGCGCCGGAAGGAGCAGGATCGAGGCAGTCGTGCTAAGGCCAACATCTTGGGAAGGCTGCTGGAGACTGAGCTTCCGTTTCAGTGTCAGCTTTGTGTGACTCGTCAAAGCGTGTGAACCACCCGTCCTGTGGAAGGTCCCGGGCAGAGGCGGCTCGAATGGCGAGCAAAGCGAGCCAGGTGCTTCGGCTCTGGAAGTTGAGAGCATTCAGGCACTGATTGTCAGAAGTTGCAACTGGACCCTTACCGTATGCCATGGTGCAGGTCACAGCATTTGCTGGCAGACCTCTTCCAACACCATCTGTCGGCATTCCTCAAGAGGAGGCCTGCTGGCTTGGCAGCCGAGCTGTCGCATCGCCGCATGTTCCCGCTAGCCTTGTCACAGGCACCAGGTTGTTAGCTGGGTAGGAGCAGAAGCACCACATAATGCAGTAATACACGGCAGAAGTGTACAAGATGACACCACCAGACAGGGTGCAGTGAACATATCCAAACATGCGCCGCACCTACTGCACCAGCTGAAGTGAACAGAAGTCTACGTTCCCTCAGTGCCATGCATCATGGCGTTGAGCTCAGCACCATCCACAAGGGTTGCAGAGCCGGTGTGGCGGCTTCGCATCGAGCCCGATGCGAGCAAGCCTTGGATGCTTCTGGTGCATCGGCGCAGTCGCTTCGCCGTTCCCTCATTTTTTTGCAGCGTGGAGGGGACCCTTGCCGCGACCTCATCCCATATGTACTCTGGAGGTGCGTGCGCACCAACACGCTGCCTTGACGGCCGTGGCGGCGGGCGCAGTGACTGTGGCCAGCCACTGTGTAAATTTCATGAATCTACTCATATGTGTTCCAAGCAGCCAAAAACGTGAGATCCTTCAAGGCCTCAGCTAGCCGAAAGCGCTGGCGATGGTCTTGCGCAGCAGAGCCGGCAGAGCAACTTGAATCAACATTGAACTGCGTGAACTGATGCCTTCCTGCAAGCTCGAGGCCTGCTATCAAGAGCGGCTTCCTGGCTTTTCCGAAGCCCTTCGTGTTTGGCGTCGCCACATCTGCGTACCAGATCGAGGCCGTCCTGAAGATGGTGCTGCAAGTTGTAAAGATTCTGTGTCCTGCTGCAGGGGGCAGCCAACATGCACGGCCGAAAGCCTTCCATTTGGGATGAGTTTTCGCACAAGTCTGGTACGACAAACGATGGGGCCACGGGGGACATTGCTTGTGACCACTATCACCTGTTCAAGGAGCCAGTCACTGGTAGGAGCCAAATTCCGAGAGAGTCTGACCTGTGATGTTTTGAGGAGGACGTGGCCCTCATGTCGAGCCTGAAGGTCAAGGCTTACCGATTTTCAATCTCGTGGAGTCGAATTCTTCCAGATGGAACTGGTCACATCAATGAGGCTCCTGTGATATGCCTAAGCTTTCTGCCATAACATGTTTGGCTCATGTGCCAGGAGGGGATCAAGTTCTACTCAGACCTCATTGACAGCTTGCTTTCAGCAGGCACGTGCTTGCGGATCACATCCGCCAGCGTTTTCGCACACTGATGAGCAGGTATTGATCCTTGGGTGACTTTGTACCATTGGGATTTACCTGCAACGCTCGACTGGCTGGGCCCTAAGGACGCTCCAGTTGCATGACTGGCTGGGCAATGCATTTGTTCTATCGCGTCTAGCCTCGAAGGACGAAGAATTTCAACCATACAAAGAACGGGTAAGATCCTTTTCAAGATCATGTTTTTGCTCGCCATTGTCAGCAAAGGGCTGAATCCTTCCTTCCCTTGCTCCTTCCAAAGAGTGGTGTCTTCGACCGAAGCCAAGCAGACGGTCCGCGACGCCAGCATGCGAATGCTAGTCTGAGCTGGGACTGAGCAGACCGTAACGCAGCAGGTCAGGACAGAACAGAAAGGATGCCTGCACAAGAGTAACGGTGCCCAGATTCAGGAAAGCAAGTTCGGAAAACCAGGCAGGCCCCTTCAAAACAGCAGGCGGCCAATTCAGGAAACCGAAAACGCTGAGTACCGAACCACGCTCCTGCTAACCCGCAAGCCACATCTGTCCGGGGGACCAACATTCAGGATTTCCACCCAACATACTTTTGCATAGCTAGTGTAAGGCGGGGTCTTATTCTTTTTTTGGCTTGATTGCCAGTTAACATCTGCTCGAGTTTGGTGAGCCATCATTTTCTATTCAAGTGTGTGGAAACCAACATCTTTTAAGATTGAAGGCCAGTGTAGGGTTTGCCAACAGCTAGCTTCTTCTTTTGGGGTTGTGGGTTTGCCCATCAGCATCTACTTTTCAGGTTTAGCGTTTCCAACGTTTCCAGACATGTATTCTTCTTTTGGAGCTTGGGGCTTGCCGACCAACATTGGTTTTGAATTTGAGTTGTGTACCATCGTGTCATTTTCAGGTTTCGGGTTGACCAGCCAATATCTGCTCTTAAGGTTTAGGGTTTGCCAACGCTAGATTATTGTGTAAGGGGCTATCTGGGCGGTGTGTTGGCTTTGCGAGCGCTCTGTAATGGCTTCAGACAGGAGCTTTGGACACTAAGCCTGTTTTTAATACTTCCTGGTTGGTGTGAATGATGCGACGGTTTGATACCTACGATTCTAAGGTAGTGGCCCTCTATGCGTGAGGTTCGTGCCATTAAGCTGCCAAAGGTGAAAGTCTGCATGTGCAGGGAACATGAAATCCCGCTTGAAGGCTCTGGCCCTCTACTGACCGAGCATGGCATCAACCAAATATGTCCAAATTGAATTTGAGATGCGACAGAGCCCGAGTAGTTGGTGCTTGTCGATCCTTCACCATCCGTTGCAATCATGGTTTGGCACGGTGCAAACTGCCGGTGGGTATCTTCTGATGCTGGTTCATCGTGTAAACAATGAACGGGGCAGGGAACAGAAAAGATGCGAGGACCAACTGGGATGCGGAAGTTGTCGTTTACCAATTCACACATGTAATAGGCCACCAAATCAAAAACCCGTGTGCGGGTCCTCATCAGGTCGTTTAGCAATACCTGAGTGAGGGTGCGGGGGAGCAGGTCGAGGGAGGCGGGGGCACACATGTCAGCAATGCAGTAAGATCAAGTCGTGTCTGCGCATAATTCCCGTAGCTTTCGTGGGCCCTCTCTCAAGCTATTCTAGCGCTCTTTCCAGCAGATGCTGCCAGAATACTGAAGCAGTGATTACCTGCAGACCCGCCTCCAGCATCTGGTGGCAGGAGCCCATAACATCGGCTTTTTCAACATATGCTCGCACGTGTTTCAAGCATTTTGGTGATCGGGTGAAGAACTGGATCACACTGAATGAGCGCAGAGCTCAGCCGGCAGCGTCGTCCGATGTTATCAGTGCAAAGTCTTGATGTCGTGAGGCCCTGGTGCAGTGCAGATCCCACCTCAGCATTTTGGTTTACGTAACCGTTTTCGGTGCGGATTGTGGTGCTGACCATCTTTGAGAGGTCTTGGGATACAATACGGGCGATCATGCGCCTGGTTATACTGATGCGGGTGAATCTGCCGCATATATCGCAGGCCTTCTTTCTTGCGTTACAGTCAATCGGCTGAGCGTGTTCAGACGGTCGTGCTTGTTCTATCGACTGGTTGAACATCGAGTTTAACTAGTCTTCTTTGCCTGTCACAGCTAGCAGCACGCAGACGAAATTGTGGCAACTTTGCTACAGGTATCGGAAGGGTTTCGCGTAGCATGCAGCTGCCCCTGAGTAGACATTTGTTCGTTTTGCATGTGCGAGCCTTGCCCATTCGGCAGCATGCAAGCGGCTGTCGGAATGAACTGTGTGACAGGCCACAACATGCTGCTGGCACATGCCGAAGCCGTTCGAGTTTTTCGCGAGGACTCCTTTTTGATATGGCGCAACTGCGAGCCATGAAGTCATTCAGCCATGATGCTATGATCATTACAAGTAGATTGATTAGCGAACGTTTGAAGTGGCTCTTAGCAGTTGACAGAGAGGCTGACGGCAGTGCCACATTCCAGGAATGCTTACACCAGCTCCGACACATTATTACACTTCACTACACTCCACGACTCCACCATGTCCGTTCTTAGTCGAACAAGCTGGTTCAATGTGACATGCACGGGACCAAGGTCCAACATAACAGAGTTCTGGATATGGGTCAAAGTTATCAAGGAGGTCCACCGGCAGTCCATGTTCAGCTCACGCAGTCCAGAAGTTGAATCAGGAGATTCAAAGAACCCCGGTATCGTCAATACTTGAAGGGAGAAGGGGAGGGCGGAGAAATAACGTAGAGAAGCAGAAACCAAGCGAGATCTAGAACAGCTACTAGCCAATATAGATACAGCTACCTCAGACGGGCATGCCTTAAGCAAGGCGGACGGGCGACGCTTGCAGAAGTAAGCCTGACAAAAAGTGGTCTGCGACCATCCTGAAAGGTGGCTTAGATCTGAAGCCGCGAAAAAACGGTGGCCTTCAGGAATTTGCGGATCAGGAGGGCCAGGCAGTTTTTGCTGATTGGCCTTTCTCGAATCAGCTTGCGTGGGTGCCTGCCTTTGGCGCAGATTGGCATCTCGTTGAATGCAGACTGGCGCCAGCCCATGGAGAGCACCTATGAGGACAAGAAATCGGTGGCCTGGAGGAAGCGGGTCGTGCTGGTCATGTTGCAAAGGACAGGCGAGCTGCGCGCCGAGCGATGGATTTTTCCCTCGGCTGGTTTGCGCAGCCGGTGTTTCATGGGGACGCTGGATCATGTGGTACTTGACAGTGCCATAAGACGGGGTCAAAGAATCGTTTCATCAGCACTCTGCATGAGGACTACCCGGAGTGCATGAAGGAAACCTGTGGCGACAGGCAAGACACACAAGAAGTGGCCTGATACTGCGATTGCGTCTGCAGAGCTGATCCTGTGAGGCTTCCCACTTTCACACCTGATGAGTCAGCACTTCTCAAAGGTTCCAGTGATTTCTTCGGTCTGAACCTTCGCTGGATATGTGCCATGTGCCTTACAGGTGCCTGAACTTGTTTTCTTCACAGATTTGCCAGTAAATTGTTGTTGATCCCAGGAACAGCTACAGTGCCAATTTCGCGAAAGTTGCACAGCAGCCCCTCGAGGCGCCCATGGGCGAGCTTAAGTTTTATTGAAGCATGGTGCCGAATGCAGGGCTTTCGCTTCAGGAGTGATGCGCTGCAGTTGGCAATAGGTTTAGTGATTTAGTGTATGCTTGTGCCAACCTTGATGATTTGAAGTTGCAGTTTCGAGTTGCGCCACAACGAACCACGCGCGCTTCGCTTGGAAGCTATAGCTGATCATCATTGGTTCGCATTCGGGTCATTGCCTTCTGATCCCTCCCCTTGTGACTGCTCTCGAGCGGATAGCTCATGGGAGCGCCAGTGTCGTGACCCGAAACAACAAGAGAATCGCAGAAATTCAGCGATAAAGATAGATTCAGCTGGACATCCAGTCTGAAGTTGGGCTTAGACTTGTCCTTGCTTTCGCCACGAATACCTGCGGATCAGGGCTCTGGCTACTGGAACGACATTGGCACCTTGCTCAGCCGCACCTGCAATCTGCTACGAAGCCTTGGACTCTTCTTAACAAGCCGAGGAGTTGAGTGGTGGCACACAGATCCAGATTGGGACAAATCTGACATGGGGTGGCCGATCGTACCATGGTCCTTGCGTGAGATCTTGCTGTTTATCCAGGAGCCGAGCAGCCCTTCTGCGGGGCGTTGCAAAACATGCAAAACACAGCCGGTGCGCTGATCCGTTGCAGGAGCTATACAGTCCGCTCGGCGGCATTATCATCACGGAGAACGGGTGTGCATGTGAAAGTGAAGAATCTGTCGCTTATTTGCGTTTCGACCGCTCTCTCTTTGCTGTCCTCGGATCCGAGAGTTGTCCTTTGTGCTTGTGAGCCTAGGCCGATCTGGATTGCAGGCCGAAGATGTCCCAATCTCCCACTGATGTCAGATGATGTCCGATGCGATCTCTGGGCAGGTCAGATGCTCTCACCCCGGTTGCGAGGGCTGGTGGCGTCGGGAGGCTGCATTGTCGACAGCAGTGGGGCACAGCCCTCTCGGAAGCTGGGACGTGAGGACGTGGTATGATGGTCCGTATGGTATGTGACCCAGTCATGGTGCGATGGCAACTGAGCCGTTTGATTCGTGAAAAGAACATTCACCAACAACTCGAGGTTCGAGATCCATAGGCTGTACAGTAGAACGGGCAACAGAACCTGGAACAGCAAGTTCTGAACAACCATCCGCATGGGCATCACCCCATACATGCCTCGTAGTGCAGTCGTTTGAAAACGCTTCGGAAGTATGGTTTTTGTGATGTGATCTTGTTTGTAAATTTTGTAGTACGGCGATTTGTGTTAGAAATCGCAGTCATCTCTTGCACTGTTTGCTTAACCTCTTCACTTCGCAACTTGAAGCCACGTGTCTCATTGTCCCAACTTTAGACCGCCCATACGGGGGTTCGTGAGCGTCCCACGAAACCAAACGATGTGTATGTACGGCGCAGGTGATGAACAGGTGGTCCCTTTCGCCTCATGGTGCCAAGTCATGTCTTGCGTGCTGCAGACTTGCCGACAGTCGATTGAATCTTGCGCTGCTTCCACTCTTCTCTTCAAGCGAAGCTACCAGGTACCACATGCCTCGAAAAAGGCTGTACTGGCATTTACCTTCATGAAAAGCCCCCCCTGTGTGTGGCCCGTTTGCTTGTTTGATTGTTTTTTTTTTGTGTGTGTGTGTGCGTGGCATTCTGCAAGTCCTGCTGTCCTGTTTGATGAGACGAAACGGTTTAAACCGTCTGGGTCAGTCTGGATCCCTAAACCTTCAGTGTGGTCTCTCATGCAACTTAATGTGCAAGGCTCTGCTTTTCTGTCTTTTTCTGTCCCCTGTCGTTCCTTGCTGTCTTTCTTGTTGTTGGCTCTGTGTGAACGTATTGCTCTCCTTATCCCACTGTTCTTTCTTGCTCCGACTTCTCGACATTCCGCCTCCCTTTCCGTCTTTCCCTCTTTCTTGCTTTCTTTATTGCTTTCTTTCTTGCCAGCTTTTCCTTCCCCTTCCTGTCTTCTCGCCTTCGCTTGTGTTTTGTTTTTTTCCAGCAAATTCGCTATTCTGATTGTCTTTGTCATGGGTGAGCTACTTTCCGCTGATGTTTCAGCTGTTCATTTTTTATATGGTCCCTGATGGTCAGCTGACGATCACCTACTCTTTTGATTGGCTTCCCGTCCGAGCCCGGATTTTTTTAGGGCTTTCAGGCTGACAGCTGACTGCCAGGCAGCAGGCTGACCTGATCTTCGATGATCCTGAGCGTGTTCGCTTCTTCAGGCCGTTCCGCGAGCTCCCTTTACGAGAAATCTCCGAGATGCGCCCCCGCAGGGCTCACTTGAGTGCAGTGCATGCGGCCATCTCCCGCGGGGCAGACGTGCGCCAGACTTGCCGGCCTTTGTTCATTGTGCTGGATGTACTTGAAAGGTGCGTGGTTACTTTGCCTGGTCCTTCCTGGACAATTTTGAATGGGCTGAAGGCTGGCAGCTTCCCTAAGGACAAGTGGCAGTTGAAGCAAATCAAGCTGTGACGAGCTTTTTCGTGGTGCAGGTTATGCAAAGCGCTTCGGAATTGTGCGGGTTGACTTCCCAACTCAGGACACCATGGGTTCACTGCAGGGTATGTACGGCGAGATTTTCGGAAGTTGTCATGTCTCCTCTCAGCTTGAAGGAGCGAATGCTCAAGTCATCTGCTCGCTTCCTTGCCAATGTCTTCGAGGCCTTAGCAATCTTGGCATTTGCAAGCTGTTCCGCGGCAGAAGTCAGAATGAGCACTGCTTGTCCGTGCGAGGCAAGTGGTCTGGAAGCCCCTTGCAAGGAGGTCCGTGTGAGATCGTTCCTAGTTTTAACTTCCTACTACCCTGCGCTGCGCAGGAGCAGTATGCCGGCAGAACCTTCTGAGTTGATGCTGAATTGATCGGAAAACAGGGTGAGTCAAATTGCAAGCATGCTACAATCAGATGCGACTTTGCAGATTGCATAGATATGCACTCCGCCCGTACGTCTCTGCTGGTCCCTGCCGGTCTGATGCTGCGAGGTTGCTGAGAAGCTGGCACTTGGCCTGCTTTGACAATGCCTCGCACGTTCAAGGTGGCTCGGCTCAGTCATACTTGTGCGTGACCCCTGTGCATCGTGCTGCATCGCTGTACAGCCAGCCGGCTTCAGATCGTGCGAGCTGTTCTGCTAAGATGGCTTGCTGGAAAAGCACAAGCTGATGGAAGGCCTGCCTGTGCGACGTACGACTTTGACTGCACCGCCAAGTCGGTTCAACGACCGCCTGCGTTTCGCGTCCACGGGAGTGTTCCGGAGGTGTGCAAGCAAAGATTGACAATGCCAGACAACAGCTGAAGCGAGTCCGGCCCCGAGCAAAACGCAGAAAGGAAAGACAGCAGCTCATCACTCCACCTGCGGCGAAAAGAAACAGCTTGCGCAGGACTGCCTCCACAGCCGAACAAAAGGTCTTTCCCTACTGGAAGGTTCTGCGAGGCCAGTCGGGGTGATGCAAACTGACAGCAGGTTGCAAATTTCACTGCACAGGCTACAGGCATGCCGGCAAGTGATGTCATTCTGGGCAGCAGTTGCGGCTTGCTCAGTTGGTAGCGCCCATCATCGTGCGTAATGTTGGCAATCATCTATCGACAACATGCCCGCCTCAAGGCTGCGGTAGAAGTGGATCGGCGCAGCCACATGAGGCTTCATGTTCCGGCCTCGATTTATATTCTTTCGACATGGGTGAGGCAGCGTTGCTTGTGCTCTAAGGTGCTTTTCAACCGAAGCAATGTGGAGGGTTTCTTTCACATTTGGGCGGAGTTCAGCAAGAGGCCACGCAATGGCACGGCACGGGCCACATGTCAGAACCATTCAGCCAGGCGGCAGCAGTCCACTTCAGCTGATGGCCTCGCCGGCTCGGCTTTACTTCTGCGTCTTGAGGGTCCTGGCACGGGCTTGCTTACACAAGGGCTGGAAGCTCGAAGCATAATCAGCAGGGTATGGGGGGGTTCTGTGCACGCGCAGCCTGCGCTTTCAGCGTATTGGGGTAATTGTTCTCCTTGGCCTCATATTGTCGGGCACTGCTAGGAGCCGGGTTCCGGCTGGCTGGTATACTTATGTGGAGTCCTTCAGGGTTTTTGGCCTTTGAGTGTAGGACTAGACTTCTGCATGCACGGCAATGCATGGTCACGGTCTCCCAGGCGTGGAGAAGATATCCGAGCGCACGCTTGTAGCAGTGGCGGCTCCGAGGCAACGCGGCCGTAGCCTCTACGAGCCCTGTTTGGGCCAAGACTTCACCTGACACTTGCCGCGTTTGCCGGAGAGTTGCAACGCTAAGCTACGACACGCTGAACTCAGCGTGGTTGCAGGTTGAGAGTCATGTTGTTGCTGTGGCGCTGGAAGCTTGGATCGACCGGGCTGATCCGCTTGTGTGCGCATTTGCCAGCGGATCAATGCCAATCCGATTGAAGTGTCGCTCATACACAGGCATGGCAGCTGATTTGGAAGCTGCCAACAAAGAGACGCCGCAGGCAAAAGGACTTGAGTTGACCTGGCGGCCTCGGAGAACTCTGCAGGTGACGGAAGCAGCTGCGACCCAAGCTCGAGTCGCATCCTCAGCCGCCTGGCTGTCCTGTGGGCCACAAGCCAAAACCCATGTTGAGGTTGGCAAAACTTTACGTTCTCAGCTGCTGCTCAGGCCATGTTAGCGTTTTCCAGCTATTTTTGCACGCGGCGTCGAAGCACTGAACAGCACCTATCAGCACAGAGAGAGAGTGAGAGAGCGCTCCCTCTGTCATGGTAGAGAGAGAGAGAGAGCCCTTGCTTGGTTGCTTGCTTGCTTGCTTGCTTGCTTGCTTGCTTGCTTGCAAGCAACCAAGCAAGCAAGCAAGCAAGCAAGCCAAGCAAGCAAGCCAGAGAATCTGATCCGACCCTGTCGTTCATGTCCGAAATCAGCAGCTGGTGGCACTTGATTGCGTTTCGTCACGCTCCCACACCCCTTAGAGTGAGCATCAAGGAGAAAGAAGAAGGCGGGCAGATCAGCCAGATAAGAACACAACAACAAGGGGGGTGCAGGACTGCTGCGCAGCACGTTCGGCCAAGTGGCCCAGTCTCGGTTGCTTCATATGTGCGCGGCCTGCATGAGTCCGTGCAATGCAGCATATCGAACCTAGGCAAATCGAGTGCTCTTTGGTTGCTTCAAGCTTGCGGGCCTGGCGTCGCAACATCACCGAGTGTGACGATGCATCTCGTTCCGCACGGCCACACAAGCAGCATGCTGCATCGACTGATCTGGGCAGTGGGCGAGTCACAGGTATCGCTGGCCTGGAAGCGCAAACAGCAGCTTTGTCAACTCGTCCATAGGCTCGACGTCCCAGAGTTGCAGTTGATCTCTGCCATGTCTTCATCTCCATGTGCAAAAAGTACTTTACAGGATCTAGCTACGCAGAAATCTACCCTTATGCGCTATACGTAGTACCTGCTGAGAAACTCGGCTCTCTGATATCTAAATCTTCCGGGAGTAAGATGTCGCAAGTAGTAGCAAGCTTGGCCAATCGCCGAGAGACATCGAGAGACCATACAGAGATACAGGTCTACTTCGGAAAAAAAAGGCTCTGGGACACTACAGCTTGCCTGCTAAGCCGACAGGCCCATGTGATCCCATGAGAAAGCTTAGCGTAGGTTTGAACTGCATTTGCTATGGCCTTCATCAGGCGGAGGCTTGTCGCAGAGCAGCGCAGCTCTGCTTGGCAGGTCTAGGGCTTGCAACTGGAGTGCCCCAAATTCAGAAGTGAAGTGCTAGGCAGCTGCACACCATCAACTGTCACGACCTCATTCCCTTGCTTGACAATTTGGGTTTGTTGCACTTATTATTGAAGTCAGCTTTCAGGCTTTGCCATTATTTCGGCAGCTGGGCGACGTGCCTTGCCGCAGCCGCAAAACAGCGCAGGCCTCCCACCGACTTTTCTTGTACTGAGGAATCAGCATGAACCAGAAGATGATTAGGAAAGCAGCAGCAGAGAGAGATAAGAAGGACAGCTAGCAGGAGCAGCGAAACAACTGCGGCGGCTGCCACCGACGACGACCACAAGAACAAGGACGCGGAGAGGACAACGACGACGACATGGGCGGCAGCAGCAGCAGGCGCCATTGCCCCCGCCCCTGCTACCACCACCACCACCACCACCACCACCACCACCACCACCACCACCACCATCTTCATCGTCATCGTCATCATCATCATCACCACCACCATCATCATCATCATCACCGTCACCCACGAAGCACCAAGCACCAGCACCACCAGCACCGGCACTGGCACCGGCACCACGAAAACCCCACCATCGCCCACCAACCACCGCTCGCATCAAGGGTGTCTTTTCGAAGTCATCATTTTCAAAGCGCTCACTCCAATGGCGAAGCCGTCGACACCTCTGTCATCCTCTGTCGCTCGGCGCCCGACCGTGCCACACACCGCTCCATTGAGCATATAACCAGGCACAGACCAAGACTTGTTCGACGAGTGGACGATTTCTAGTGTTGTTTGTGTTTTCCCATCCGAGTCTTCTGTCTGTGCAGGATTGATGTCGAAATAGCGCGGCATGGCCAGGCTCCAACAGAAAGCCATGACCATACATGTCTAGATAAGGTTCCACCTGTGAGTCAAGGAGGGCAACTCTTATTTGTGTCAGAGCAATGTGATGCCAGTAGTGATTTCAATGTTCTTTGTGCCCGAGGCCTCAAAAAGCAAGCCGCCGAAGCTGTAGGTGACCTTCTCAGACTCCTGGAACTTGGCGAAGGATCTTTCGTCTGGAAGGGGCATCCGGGGCTACTGTCTGAACTAGTGGTAGCGGTGGTCTGCACCTGCAGCAAAGCACTCTCTTGCATGCATGGTTTCACGGCTTCCTTGAGTGCACGTTGAGCATGCCCAGTCATGGTCCGTTTTTGGAGTGACCAGGGAGACTACATGACCTGCAAACCGCAAGTGCCCGAGCTTTTATCGAAGTGGCGGGACATATCGATCAGTTGCTTCGCGCACCCTTGAGGTAACTGGCAGTCTAGAGCCGACCTCAGAAAGGCCACCACTGGGGCCATGTGAGCGGACACTACTTTAAGGCTGGCGCTGCACACCTGTCATCAGCAATCCGTCGCAGAACGCGAATGGCAAGCTACTTGGAATTTCGAAGCTTCAGGCTTGAAGGTTTTGTTGCACCGATGCGTAGTACCGAGGCTCTGTCCCTTTGTCGCAAGAACTTGGGTTGCGCAGAGGCGCCGTGGACACCATGCTTCGACTCGTCGACTGCTTCAACCAATCTTCGTGGCGTCAGGCTGAGTCGGACGTCTTCGAAAAGCTCCAGGCAGGGCTGTGACAACCGCGAGGGTAGAAGTAAATCGCAAAGTTGTGGTTGCTAGAAAGTCTCCACAGGGTGTTTGTTGTGACGCAGCGACGCAGGCCGCGCGAGAATCTTGCGCGAGCCTCGTCAGTCACCGACGCAAGATGGAGGCCTGAGGTCTGGTGCGGTCTTTCGCAGAAGAAATGGCTCGGCCTTCGTTCTGCCTGGCAGGATTGGTTTGCACACAGCTGAGTCCAGGTGCGATTCAGGAGATCGTCTGAGCATCTGTTGCAGCTTGAGGTGCAGCAGCACCACTCGGTGGTTGCAGCTCGACAAGCTGCACAGCAGGCCAGACGGAGTCGATACTGCCTTTGGCCTCGGGGCCTCCGGGCACGATTCTGGAAGGTTGCCAGAGCCTGGGCTTTCTACCTCACGCTCAAGCTTTTTCGAACTGTGGTCGTGTCGTGGCGGATCAGCTGTGAGCTTGGCAGAGCAGCAGTGCGACCCGAATTGTCGGAAAGCCATGGGCTGAGTTGTAGCTTCGGCGCCCAGGCACCTTGAAGGCAGCCCTTGAAAGGGAAAGACAGTGGCAGGATAGTTCTGCTGCTAAATCTCGACTTCTGGCATTGTTTGGGGAGGGCTCAGGATTTTTGGACGTTTCAAAAACTTTAGAGAGGCTTTTGCGGAAAGCAGAGTTATACGACTTCTGATGTCAACATGACTGGACTTGGTTGGGCTGGCCTTGGGTTCTTTGGTGCAGGGTGAGTCGGGGGGCTTTTGGGTTCGGGTTTCTGGTTGAGTGCAGGGCGATAGTGGGGGCGCGCAATGCGGCTAAAGGAGGGGCTCGTGTGTGAGATCCGAAAGCATGCTGGGCAAGACCCCTCGCGCTCAGCTCGCGGGATTTGTCAGAGGCTCTTATTACTATCTTAAGTCCTCTAAATTATGGGAGTCCCGTTGTGCAGGGCTTGTGCCGGTTTCATGTTTGAGTGACACAGATTAAGTCGCTGCGTGCAAGGAGGATGGTTCCTGGCTGGTTCAGGATTTAGCCATCCCTGCACAGCTAACATGTAAGGGGGTCCTGCTCTTTCCTCTTTCGCCAGTACATCGCCAGGGAATGAATGCGTAACGCGGAGGGGAGTCAAAACCTGGAAGCCCTTGAACCACGAAACAAGATGTAAAACCATACCAGGAAGACAAGGACTGTGACCCCGCCCTCCGCGGCAGGACATGCAGCGCAAAGCCAAGGCCGCTCCCGAGTGCTTCAAGCCTCTGGGTTGCAGGGGGGGGGGGTTGGTCCAGCTGGAGGATACAACGACCGACTCCGTGCTGGAGAAGCAGCGTGCCGCCCAAACCAAAGTTGCACAGGCCATGGCTACAAGCACAGCCTCGTTTCCAGTCGAGAGCATCTTGCTTCCGGGACTGTGAAGAAGGTGATGGTGAAATCCTTGGACGAAGGAAGCTTGCGCCTGATCTTTCTGCGCTGGCACCGCCTGGCCTTCAAGGCCGACCGTGTGGCCTCTGCCTCTGACGGCCTCCGTGACCGTTAGGGGTGGCGGTGCGCTGCTGTGTGATGCTCTGTGCTTCATGGGCAGGAGAGGCGCCAGAAACAGATACTCCTGTTTCGTCAGGAGTCAGAGGCCATGTCATGTCATGTCATGCCAGGTTGGTCTCCAAGCAAGGGGTAGGCCCGGGTAGGCCTCGGATAGGCATCAACGAAAACCACACCGGATCAAAAAGGCAAGTTGGGATCAACAAGACATCAAAAAAGCATCAACAACATATCAGACTCTGAAACATTGTAAACTACAGTATTCGAGCCATATTTCAGAACGGCTCTTTGCATCTGAGCTGGAGATCTCGATGTTCGGATAGGGTGGCTCTACTGCTATTGCGTTTACTCTTCCTGTTACTGTTGCGCTCACCCGTGCTTCAATTATGAAGTATTTACCGCGGTTTGGCCAGTGCAGCAGGAATGAAACATGTGTTACTGCAACGATTAATGAGATTACTGTTGCCATTCCTATGCCTATGATGATGATGGTGGTGATGATGATGGTGGTGGTGATGGTGATGACGATGATGTTTTTGTTGTCGTCGTTGTTGTTGTTGGTGATGATGATGGTCATTGCTATTATTGAAGGATTATCGTTCTTTTTCGGACTGTTGTTTTGATTTCGATTAGTGTTTGACACACGAGTATTGTTTTCGCTTTCACCGTCACTATTGCCTGTTACCGTTATTGTTGTTGTCGCTATGGAATGGTATACTGCTGCGGCTAGTACTACTGCGCCCCCAACCACCCTGCCCCTGGCACCGTTTTTCTCTCCCCACACTCACCAAGAAAACAAGATCTCCCAAAAGTCAACGACCCACAGTGCTGCGATGCCGGTTGTACACCAGAAAACCGTATCCCTGTTGTGTTTGTTTTTTTGATCCCTGTATGCTTTTTGGTTTATGTTTTCGATCCCAGACATGTGATTTGGTTTGATCCCTGTTTGATTTGTTTGATCCCTCAGCCTCCCAGTGATTTGCAAGTCGCTTGCAGGCGAGGCTGGAGGTGCGGCGGCATCAACAGAGCCAGGCTGAGCTGACCACAGCAAGGCAGCTGGTGCATTTCCTTTCGAATGCACCATCAATGTCACTGCACCGCTTCAGGTACCGTGAGCATGCTTTTGTCTCGTTCACCGCAGCGGGACTTTGGCCCAGTGCAGGGTCAAGGCAGTGAAGGCTGGACTGCTGACTTCACTTCCAGTTGTTCATTGAGGATCCGTGGGATCACCAAGCTGGCTGCGGCTTTTCCTGTGCAGATCCCAGACTCAGACGTGATAATGATATTTGATGTTGAAGGCATTTGCTTGTTTTGCATGCGATGTCTTCCATGTTTACTAGATCCTCGACGATCCGCGATGCCCTCCAACTGAGCTTATCTCGAGAAATCGAGAACTTGCATTCTGCGGCACTGGGCACGGCTCTCACAGATTTGTCTGACTCTGAACTTCCGACTTGCAAGGCAATGCAAGGCATTTTGTTTCAACTTTTGGCTACACTTTCAGGTGGGATTGGAGGCGAGCCGTCACATCTCCCACATCCAAGCGAATCCTTCGCAAGGATCTCAGATTTCCACTGGCCAGTTGTTTGCATGAGTCTGCAGACAAATGAGCTGCTTTCAGGCCTGTGGCGTATCATAGCTTCCATGGAGATCTTCAAATGCAAGCGTTGGCCCAGTTCTTACATGTTCTTCCTCTCTAGGACATCAAGGCATCAAGGCGACCAGTGGTCGCCTCAAGCAAAGCGAGTTCTCCGTTCTGCTCTGATCAGAAGCTTCATGCGGCTGCAATCGCACAGGCTGCTCAAGATGCCATCAACGATTCATTGGGACTTCTTACCTCACCAGCTCAACTTTTCCTGAATCGGTTGGTTCTAAATCTTCCGGAACAGCGTGCAGACATCGCCGATCGTGGCTTATTTAGAGAGGAGGGCGCTGGCGACATGGCCAGACGCCGCAGCCAGCCGTCCTGATCCCAAATCATGTGCCCCTTACTGAGGCTGTTGGAGTTCTGCGTGCAAGTCTGGGCTGCTCTCACTTGTGGTTCTGCGCTACAGGCAGCCGCAAGGCAAGGGTGATCTGTGCTGTATTCGATGCCTTTCCAGGCAATGAACTCGGAATGGCTCCGGAAACGGCAGCACATTCGCAAGGAGGATGGGAAGGTGTGTTTTTGCTCAGTTACGAGAGTCGCAACTAGGCCCTTTTGGTAGTCCTGGAGCCACAGATCGTGAGGAGGATACGTTGGTCTTCTACGAGTAATAACATAATTCGACAGGTCGTGCTCATCATGTCCTCGTGCTCGTCATGCATGACTCGGGATCTGCGGCTCTGCATGATGATGATGGTGATGCGCGGGTACGACAACGGTGCGGCAGAGCAGGGAGATGGGATGAGGTCATGATTCGCGGTGATCACCTGATGGTGGTGATATGGCGACTCTAACGATGACCACTGCCGAAGAGTTCGACCTGATTCGTTATGTTTCCTTATGAAATTCTGTGTCCAAGCTTCAAGATTCAAGGTTTCCAGGCAAGGTTGAATCTTAATCTTACATCGAAACTGAATCAGTTTTGTTTCTAGAATTTTTCATCTGCAAATTTGGGAGAGGGTGTCTCTCTCCTATCTTGGCTTCTTCCCTGCCACACCAACCAGAATAGGTTTTGGATGAATCCATATAAACATATGGGTTGCGTTCCAACGTGGCACGTCTGTGGGGCTATGGCACATGTTGGCGCTGGGAAAAACCAGTAGCATGGAGCTAGGCATGTTTGGAACTGCGTGCTCAAGGTGAAGCTCTTGTGTAGCCCTCGTCATCCCAACCCTTTAGCGCACTGCTAATGTTAACTCTTCGCAGGTGGAGCAACTTCAGCACTGTCCATGCTCGGTATGTGGATTGGTGTGGGTTGTGGCAGCCAGGTGCTTCTAAGACCAACGCTCCCTCTGTGGATTGTGGGACATACATGCATGTTCCCAAGATCGACGCTCGGTACATGCCTTTGCGGACTTCTTGGCGGCTCTCCAATCGTTATCCGATCGAGCATGCCGCCATATGCCGCCACATGCCGCCACAGTCGTTTTTGGGCCCTTTATAAGACAGTGCGCTAGATGCGCACTAGCACGTCGCTAGCAGAATCTCATTCCAAAGGACAGGATCCGTGTTACGGGTAGCTTTCGAGGGGCCACCCCGTGGAACGGCAAAGGGTACATGATCAGGATTATGGAGACAGCTACGGCTTGCAGAACGGCGCACAGCTTGATCCCTCCAACGAGCGAGCGGGCGTAGAGGTCCATAGAACAGGAAATGCGAACTGTGTGGACGCTGCTTCATGATTCATGGGCCGACCATGGGCAATACAAGTCAGACTCCCGACAAAATTCGCGTCACCCGCCAGCAGTCCAGCAGCAGCAGCAGCAGCAGCAGCAATGGCAGTTCTACCAACAGCGTGTCCCACAGGACAGCAACAGCTGAAACGTCTGCTTAGGGACTTCAGCTGGTTGACAAACCATTCAAGCCCGAGTTAGAAGTATCATAATTCCTGGGACACCCGAAGGACCCAACCGTTTGACTGTCAACCCAATGTAACCCGTCGCGTTGTGTGATCATTGGTTCTGTTGAATGTGACATGAGTCTCCTTTCAAGCTCAATTTTGAGGAGCAGCTTCAAGAAACTCTTTGGGCTCGGCTGACAGCAGGCACTAGAGCAGTTCTACACCCCTGCTGCACTTTGCTTTCTGTGTCGTTTTGGATCAGGCCATGTTCAGTGCTTGCTTCACGATACTTTCTCTGCATGGCGGAGGCGACGCTTGTTTCTCTCCTGACACCCTCCATGAGTCCTAGCATATCCAGCTGCACAATTCGCAATGCCTTTGCAGTTCAGTTGCGTTGCCGTGATGTTGTGTAATTCTCAAGCTCGCGACCCCATGGACGACGCCGTCTGTTGTCCTGGCTGTGCAGGTCACATCAAGCTGAACAAGTAAGGGATGAGGTTAAACTTGTCTGATTCTCAGGCTCTGGGAAGCAGACCTCGTGAAAGGTTGGGCATGTGCTGGTGCCGTGCTGCAGCGAGCCCGAGTCCAAAGGTCTGCGAGCAGTGGAATGACGAGGAGCTGTCTTGCAAGCTCCGTTCTCTCAGCAGCGTCATGATGGTGGGTTCCCGTTGGACCATGATTTCGGTCACTGTCCTTGCTTTGTGCTACGCTATCTGTCACATCGAACATCCGCACAGTTTCTTCTACCCGCACTAGCAGATAGATAGTGGGGGTTTCCGAAAACAGGGGCCCTACTATAGTACCCTAAATTAGTAGGATCCTTATTATAAGGATCCTAAAATAAGGTACCCCTAAGTTTCTGAAACACCCAGCATCGAGCTTTGGAAGGAACAGGCGGCCCGGCGGCACCAGCAACGGATCACGTGGCAACGCTCGTGTCTAAGGCAGCCCCACGATTTCATTCGCAGACTCCGCTGTTACAGGTTCTGTCTGAAAATCTTGAAATATCATGTCGCCAGGTCATGGGCCTATCGGTCCATGACAACTGTGCAGAATTTCGAGGCCCGGAAAATCCCGGAAACGATTGGGGCGGACAGCCAAAAGCAGAGAAGCAAGCCGTGGCTGCACGTAATGCCTCAGCCTGGGAGTGGTGCTGACTTGTCCAGGATTTGCGGGATGCTTTCCTGGCATGGGCACAGGACGCAAGTGTTTGTCGGACGCAAAGCTGCCTGTGCCGAAAACTTGTTCGCGCGTCATGTCGGCAGGAAATCCGCTTCGCGAAAGCGGAGGCTCCTTGAGAGATTCGCAAACTCTTGTTGCACAGAGTGCGACCACCCTCTGGGAACGCAGGCTCCCCTTGAGGTATCGTGCAGTGAAGCTGGGCCCTTGGATGGTTCACACACATGACCTAGGCAGGCGAAGCATGGTCTTTACAGCCTGCACCTTGGTCTGACAGGTGCAAAATGGACCAGAAGCCCAACAGAGATTGGAATCGCTCGTGCGCGACAGTTGGATTGAGAGGTGACGTACCTTCCAAAACTGAAATCAAGATGTGTTGCCGTACCACATCGCAACCCATCTGTGCGCAGGAGCTTGTATGCGAATGCTCGCCAGCGACGAAATGGCCGGTGACTGAGACTTCAGAGCCTGGCTCCTTTTCGATCGAGTTTTTGTACTGCTTGAGGTCACATAGCTCTTGTGTGGTTCGCTTGGAGGGCAGCTGCGCAGGAGACACGAGCCTCTCAAGCGGCATTCAGATCGGCAGACGGGTCTCCTGGCGCAGAGAACTCCGAGGTGTCCCGCAAGCGTGAGCGCAGTGCAGGTCTTAGTGTGAGGATCCTGACAGCACGGACGCAAGGCTGTGAGCTTAGGAAAGCGACGTGCTCATGTGATCGAGCAGCCCGCATCTCAGTCGCAGCTGCAGTCTTGATCACGGCAGACGGGCGGATGCCTGGCGGAAGGAAGCGAACTTCGGAGTGGCAGAAATGCACCAAGCGCTTGGTGCTAGACAGCTGGCAAATGGTCCTGTGTACCAACAGGTGCATGCCGACGGCTTCCAACATGCGGATGTTCTCATTCGTTGCATGTTGGAGGCGTTTGTGGCTTGAGAATCGACGCCGATGGATGCTGACTCAGTGTTTTCCGTTTGTGATATCCGCGGTTAACTCACCATGTCACCATGGCAATTCTCCAACATTTAGGCTGCAGTCGTCGTTAGAGGCGGAGGGTACCTGTCTCTGCCAGCACGGCTGCTCGGCACTTTGCAGAGGTCGTTCGACCGGAAAGCGCTCAAGCCAACGAGGCATCATCAATGCAAAGCCGTCTCTTTCAGGTCTGCCACCGTTTCAGGCTTTTGCATGACGTCACCATCGTCAATATGTTGATCGTCTGAATCACTACTGCATGGTGGTTGTTACTTATGATGGTGTGACAGTCCATCACCATCATCCGTGTTTTTGTCGTCACGCTGACCGTCATTGTCGCGATTATGGTAGTGCTGCTGTCTTTGTCCATTGCCAGCCCAGGAGCATGTCACCCATTCGTCATGTGCCTATGGCGTTGCTCCACCATGCAGCATGAAATGCCTAAGAGACGAGACCGTTGCGGCCTTCTGCCCTGCAGGCCGATCTGCGAGCGCTTCAGCTGGGAACTCGTTTGTGGGGCCTCCTCTCAGGCTCATGCCCATGAGGCCCATGAGGCCCATGAGGCCTGAGGCCCAAGGGTCTGAGCTCCTCAGGTCAAGTCTTCAATCGGACTTTCCCTCCAGCCTGCAGAAGTCCGAGCCCAAAGGGCAAAATATCTTGCGAGGGCATGGCAAGTCTCGCTCACTTGTCAGGCTGACCTTTGGGAATCCGAGATCAGAAGCTCTAGAAGATCTTCGTAGCTGAGGCGAATGCCCTGGCACCCTTGCCAACCGTATGCCTCCAAAGACTCGAGGCAGTGTTAAGGACCTAGCTCAATTTCGTTTACCAACTGGCTGGGAGTCGAAGAAAGGCTGGGAAGCCTCAAGCCATGGCAAGCCGCAAGCCCTTCTGTTGCAGAGCTCCTGCTCGACTCTGGTCCAGGCTCAAGGCCTGAGCCACGGCCATGCCGAGCCCATCGAGCCCCCAGGCTCCCCCAATGGCCCGCATAGAGACAAGCGGAGACAGACAGGAGCGGACAGCTTGGAAGTTCAAGTAAGACTTGCTGCACTTCAACTTTGCCGGCGTATGTCCACGCCATGCCAGAGGCCAACAAGGTGACGTATCTCGTCAGAGCTCTTGTGGCATCGTGCAGCTGCTTCTCTGCAACAGGTTGCTTCGGGACAGGCCACTTCTGGAAGCCAATTGCTGCGAGACCTGGCAGCGAAGAAGGTGACACTGCGCAGGTCCCTCAGATACACATGTTTGACCGCACGTGCGTGCTGTATTTCTTGTGGCGATGAAGCTGTAGGGACACTGAAGTGAACGGCAGCAAGCTCCAAACGACAGTTGTGTGGGGCAGACAGGATACCTATCCAGGGGCTTCCAGGATCTTCGGTTGCTTGATTCGCGGAAAAGATAGCCGTAGAATGCCGGATGGCCGTGCCCGGCGCCAAGGATGCCTGGCAGACTGGGGCCCGGACACTCTAGCTGCGAGCTGCAATGTCTGTGGCTGCGCTTGCTGGGTCGGAGCGGCCAGAATAAGAGCCCTTCGACCTCCAGCGATGGACGCAAGTCCGGAAGTGCCAGAACAGACATCCGGCGCGTCTTGCGTGGAGCTTTGGTGGCTTCGGCTGGCCTACGACGGCACAGACTACGCTGGGTGGCAGAAGCAGTCTGAGGTTGCATGGGGACTTAAGGTGCTACACAGGCCACGCACGTGTAATCACGTGCATATCTCTCAATATTATGGCATTTGAGCCCTGCAGGAAGTGCGGACGATTCAAGGCCTGACCAACCGAATTTGTGCACGTTTTTTTGTCGAGTATATGTGCAAACTGGTCTGTTGAATATGTTGAGATGCCGCTGAACCAGCCCTGCAAGGGGAGGTCGACAAGGCACTCGCGCTAGTGTTTCGGAGCAGCATTCGCACCGTGGGGGCATCTCGCACAGACAGTGGCGTGCATGCGCAAGGCTGGCTCTTGGCCTTCTTTCTCGACGCGGTTATGTGTGCTTTTCTCTCCGTTACGCGTGAAGTGCATACCCTGAGGTCAAGTCTGCCACTTTGAGGCGCCGTCGTTGTGGGCCAACAGCAACAGTCGGCTAGATGCTGCGGCAGCCCTGCGTCGCCTGAGACTGACGCTTCCAAAGGCAATTTTGGCCGTGGAACTTGGCTTGGCGCCCAGTGGCTTCCATTCTCGACTTAGCGCAGCGAAGAAGCAGTATTCGTACAGACTCTCGATGGCAAGCTTGGTAATGCCCTTTGAAGCGCGACGATGCTGGATTTGCGGCGATTTGAACTTGGACGCCATGCAGAAGGCGATCGATGAGCTGAGCGGAAAAGAGATGGATTATTCTGCATTTAGCACGGGCGAGAATGACCCTGACTACCACGGGCCCACGGTGAAAACGGTTGATATTTCTCTGCAAGTAGATGGGCCTGATAAGATTCTCATTCGAGCGGAGTCGGAGCGCTTTTTGTACAAGATGGTTCGACGGCTTGTCGGTGGCCTTGTTGAAGTTGGCAAGGGTCGATTGGAAGCTTCGGGCTTAGAGTCAGCTGACCGTCGTCAGATACCGACAGCACCACCCGAAGGCCTCAGCCTGGAGGAGGTGATGTACCCGTTTAGCCTGAAGGAAGACAGGATGTGAGCTTGAGTGCAGCAAGAAGTGATCGGAGCTACTGACGGTCAGGAAGGGGCCTTTTCTGGGAAGCGGCATCCTCCAAGCCAGGGAGCTGATCCTACGCCATGCAGAGCCAGGAAGCCTGAAGGAGCTCTACGCGTACGTGCTGCAGTGTTGTGAGGATCAGCGAAACGACATCTGAACAGGAAGATTCTGCAGACCAAAACTAGGTCTGGATTGCCTGTGTCAGAGATGGTTGAGGTGTTCGGGGGCTTTTTCTGACAGCACGCAAACCAGTGGCCAATCGCCATGAGTTCTTCGATGATGAACTCAGGTCGCTTTAAGGATAAAGAAGCAGAGCGCAAAGCTGCGAACCCAGTTCTTCCAACGACCATGGCCCAGTTGTTCCTCCAGCGAGCTGCAGGCATTGAAGCTATGTCGAGATGCACTTCTAGGTGGACCTATCGAAGAAGACGAGACTGAAGAAGGTGCACTTCAACCCAGAGACTGGCTGAGGGCAGTGCTGAGCTCGTCGAAGGCGTGCAGCGTGGGGCAAGGGGGACGATTGGTGAAGGACTGCCTGCCAGTGCAGAGATCGGCTGACCAGGCGTGAAACCGTAATTCTCAGGACCAAAGCAGCGTCCTTTCCGCCTGGCGCTGCACTCGATGCATCAAACACTCCAGAGACGGTCGGTGTCGAATCACTTCTCAGGACACAGATGAGCCAGACACTGCAGAACGACTCAGCAAGCCCACGACTTTGCTTGTCTGATCTTGACTTGATCGACACATTGGATTCACAAGAACCTCAATCTCGGTGCAATGCGTGCGCGTGTGAGAGAGATAGATAGATATAGACAGATAGATGGAGAGAGAGAAGAGTGTGTGTGGGTGTGTGTGCGCACTAGCACTGCGTGTTTGACATGAGGCTGGCTAAAGAGGTCCGCCAAGCGGACTTGACAGCTGGCTGCCGGCACATGAACTTTCGCTCAAAGTGGCGTGCTGAGTTGGCAGTCGTGTGCCCGACGACGCTCACAAACTCGTCCCTGCTGAGGCTTGAAAGGCATGAGGTCGAAATGACAGAGCTTTACAAGCAACGTTGCCGGCTTAAGTCCCGGGTGACCATGCCTTTCAGTCTTCAGACTTCTCGTCGAGATTGGACTTGATTGGAAGGGGGCTCAAGAGCTGGAGCCACATTGCTCCAACATGCTAGAATCTGCTAAGAAGTTCCTGGTTGCAGCTGCCATGGCAGGTTATGTTTTCAGGATGCTATCTTCTTGCTGCTTCAGCCGCGTTTGGTTGTTACTGTGCTCCGTCACTCCGTCAGCTTCGGTATCAAAGTATATCCTTCTCCGTCTAGCATGGCGTTGACAATTCAAACTAGTCCTGGCAGCTCAGATACAGATACCGTGACTTCAAAATCTTCACGGGGTCAACTCGGAACTGAGGGCTAAGATTGCCGCTGGACATCACGGACCTACCGCTCCAAGAGCCCAGGCGAGTGCACGTGTGCATGCGTGCAGGTCACGAATCAATGCAGTCACGGGTCTCTGTTCTTGGCGTTTGCGATGCTCTTCAACAGCCTGTCCGCTTCGTGGCACTGCCGTGCAGGAGCCGTGCAATCCGAAGATGGCGGCTGCAGAAGCTCGACACCCTGGCAGATCCGCTTCGTGCCACGGCGCCAGAGTTGCGAAGGCAGAAGTCTTAGATTCTCTGCCATGGCTGTGGCATGTCGGGAGCTCAGACGTGTCTGTCTCGCGAGCAAGATGTGTTGAGGAAGTGTTTGAGGGACATCGAGAAGCTTGCTTTGCTTGGCTGACGGCAAGGCCGTCTCTGCAGCCTTCCTTGCTCTGCACAGCCAGCTCTTTGCGCCTCTCTTGCAACCACGCGCTCTCCACGTCCGCAGGAAATGATCTTAAACCCGAAGAGAACAGCCAACCACGAAGATGTTGCTCAATATGTCTCTGTACTGCTCAATTCTCGTCGAGCTTTCTCGTCCTCCTGCTTGCGAGCTGGCTCTCGAAACTGTACTTGCAGTCGTCAGCGCTAGCTGTTGCATTCTTCCACATCGTGCCCGGCAAAAGCTTGCCAATGAGCTGCAGGCTGCATTCCGACAAAGTGCCGTGTCCCGGCGCTGTGGGAGAGTTCGTACAACCGAGCCGTGGAAGAACAAACATTAGCATTGAGTCGCCCTTCTCCGCGGCATGTGCGAGGCAGTTATCTGAAAACACATCACCTGCTTGCAGCCTTTTCGCATCGGGTGGTAACCTTGCATGTAGGTCTTGATCGTGCTGAGGCTGTCTTGCGGAAGTTATGCTATCATGTGGTCGTTGAATCGTGTTTTTTCCAGGATAGACTAGATGGACTAAGTCGAGCTCTCGAGAGGGCATGCGGCGCTGCACGGCATGGACCAGCCAGCTGGCGAGGGCGTCCGCTGTCTTCTTGGGCACCGAGTGGCTGCTTCGGGTGCCGTGGAGGGATTTGCACCACATCTGAACAGGATCGTTTGTGGCCGTTTCTATCTCAGGACAAGCACCGACCTTCCAAGAGTTTGCCATCCAAGACCTTCAGCTGCCTTATATAAGCCTTCACTTGCCGTGCTTTCTGTTATCAGACATGGCTGAGGACAACTTCTTGTCAGCAGCGACCACCATGCGTTGCAATGACTGGAGATATCTTCATCGACATCGTGGCACCTGTGAAGAAGCTTCCTATGTGGGCGGGAATCTGAGTTGTTGACGGATACTTCGCACATGTCACCCACGAGCTTGCTCCAAAGCTTTAAGCTCAGATTTCTCAACTCTGAACCTGTCAGAGGCTAGCTGAAGCGATGTTCTAAGATGTTCTAAGGACTCTGACGTGGAGGCAGAGAGCGTCAAGATGCTCCCGGGGGGAAGCGCCTTGAACCAGGGGCGTCATCTTCACGCTCTCGGAACTCGGGTGCGCTTTTTTGGGGCGGCCTTGGTCTCAGGAAAAGCTGCTCTCATGAATTTTGCCGCCACAAGGCATGTCTGTTGATGGAGGTCGGCAACGACACCCTCGGACGGTCGTTGGTGCAGCAAGTAGCTGGACAGGGTTTCCCCACAGAGACGATCAAGATGTTCAGCAACCTGCCATCTTCGGTGTGCGTCGTCCTTTCTGGACCATCTGACCGCGCTTTCGTCTCATGCTATTCCACGACCGACGCCTTCACAACGCGGGACCTCCAGGAACAGGTCGGGTGCAGAGGACCGAATACTGGAGCTGCAGCACCCAACTTGACATGTGCTTGAGGCGGATCATCTAGACGGATGCACTCACTTTCACCTCGGCGGCTACTTCAACATGAAAGGCTGCGGAGCTTGAGATGGCACGTTCGCCAGGATGTTGGGGAAGTATGGATACCGAATGATACCGAGAGGGATTGAGTCTACCCTTGCCCTCGGGGTACGGCTTGCCTACAGCGCCCGCGAGGTCTGCAGAGCCGAGATTTCACGGAGTTCGTTCACAGCCTGAAGAGCCGTTTGAGCATGACCATCTCCATGAACACGCAGCGCCGCTCTTACAGTCAAGCGACTCGAGCAAGCTTCGCAGGGCTGTGGCAGATACAGAAATTGAGGACTTTTGGACTTGCTGTCTTTTGCTCTCCAGGTGTGATGCCGCAGGGCACTGGTGTGGGGAGGGCAACCATTTGGAGGAGTTCCTACCGTATCTGGACTTGCTCTTCGCAGCTGGAGCTGCAACGCAGAGACAAGTCTTATCACTTCCGGTCCCGTGCGATCCGGGTTCACGATGATCTGCTTAGGTGAACATTTCGGAAGGTGAGCACCTGTGTTCTGCACTGTGTCACGAAGGAGACCGCTCTATCAATGCCTTGCGCCTCGCCCTGGCCTGGAGAGTTTCAAGTCGAGAGGTCCTTGTTTCTCGCTCGTGTGCCAAACGAAGGTGCAAAAGATTTCCCAACACGACGGTTGCCAGATCCTCGGGCACAGACGATCACAAACCGAGGGTCAGCTATCAGAGGCACGGGAAGCCCGCGAGCCGCAATTGTTCCGATGTCAATGAACTCGTTTGAGGTGGTCACTCAAGGAGAACATGGTTGCACCGTCTATCGGTATGGCATGCACGCGATCTACGTGCCTACAAAGCCAGCCGTTCGCAACTCGACGGCAATCTTCGAAGTCAAGCATCAATCCTGTTGCGTATTGAAGTCTCGCCGGGGTAGATCAAGCAGAGGATTGCTGATCTTGAAGCTAAGTCAGCTAAGTTTTCGCAACAAGTTCTGTTTAGTTTTTCCCGCAGAGACTTGGCAGCTCAGGAATCGTGGATGCTACAGGTTGTGGCGATGCCTTCATAGCAGGCTTTTTGTCTTCGATTCTGGCACAGTCGGCGGCACCGAACACAGATGCAGAGCACAAGGCAGGACGGTGCAGTTAGCTTATGGTATCTTGTGCTATCACGCCGGGATGCTGCATGTATCACGATGTGAGAGGTGTGAGCCCCTCGCTCTTGCAGGCCTTGATCGAAGCATGTGGCAGAGGTCATGCTGTTGCCAGTGTGTGCCTGGCAAGAGAGGGAGCTTGTGTGGAGCCAGTTCGCCCTCGTGCGCCTGGGTTGAACTACGATCTCTTCGCCGTTCTGGTCGTTCTGGCTGTGCAAGTGGACTCAGTTTGTAATCCCACATCCCTGCTCCAGGACTTGGAGTGAGATACAAGCGACTTGGACATGACGAATTTGCTGGCTGCATGGTGGACCGAAGCTCGTTCATTCCTCTTGGACCCAACAAGAACATGAACAAGGAGAATGATGCCCCGGTGGCATCGGGTTTCTGGCAAGGCTACTTGGCTGGATGTCAGCCAGATCGAGCTGATGGAATCGTGGCACAGCCGACCTCGAGATGGATCCAGAATGTGCAGCACCGTGACTAGGAACGAAGCGCGAAGCGCACAGTTCAGGAGACTTCGACAGTGCCGGCCATGTAGTTTAGTGAGTTGTGAAAATCACAAAACCTTGCGCTGTGATGCGATGTGCGCGATGTGTGTCAGACAGCAGAAGCACCGCCTAAGCTTTCATCCGCTTCGGCAGCTTCCTGCTTCAGAAGAGCGCTCATGCAATCCATCTGCCGTCTGCCGGTTCCACGGGCAGAGGCTGCATAGAAGAGAACTCATGAAGCGACTTCCCACTATCAAGCCAAAACTTGCATCTGCGAAGCCTGAGATACGTTTGCTTGTCCGGAACAAGCGAGTAAGTCAACCAGACTACGTAACTGCAGCATACGCAGCACGTATGTCATGTGGATCTCCCTGTCCGCGTGGAGGACCTAGGCTCTAGGTGAGACGCCAGAATGCAGCTACTGGATGACTGGATACGCTGAGAGCGACACTTCACTGAGGCCCTTGTGCATAAGAGATGGTGGTATCTCCCACAGGGGCAGCGTTGGGAGCCTCAGTGCCAAATTGAATCGCATGTCGAGTGTCGAGTATCGAGCTTGTTGAAGATCTTCCGAAGGCCAACGGCTGCTTCTCGCTATGGCAGTCGTGAGAGCAAGGAGGTGGGTCCAGACATGCCTGGCTGGAATTCAGACTTAGCGGAGGAGTCTTGACATGTACACAGCTTGCGTGTAGCAGAGCTTTCCAGGCCTTGGCTGAACTCAAGACGAAGCTGGACTTTGCACTCAGCCGCCTCAATGATCAGGCAGGCTGACATGCAGGGACTGTGCCAGGGTAGGTCGGGGGCTCTCCACGTGTCTTCGCCGCAGGAGCAAATTATTGTTAGGCCATCAGAGATTCGGCCGTTAGAGATTCAGGTGATGCGTTGTTTGGCCAGGGTGCAAAGACAGAGTATGCCAGCAACACGTTGCAAGCCACACCACGGTATGATGGGTGGAAGCTTGTGTGGTAGGACACGCAGCGGGCCGGTATCGAAGAGATCAGAGAGCGCTGCCCACGGCTGTCAGCGGTCCTCTGCCTTTTCCTGCACAGTCTGCCTCTTAAGGTTTCTTCAAACCCTTTACCCCGATTGGCTACGGCCTTGGTCGTTTGGGGGGAGACTGGTCAACGCCGGAAGAGTGAATCAGGTTTCCAATGGTCATTACTTCAATCGGAGAGGCCCGCTGGGATCCGGGGCAGCGCCAGAAAACTGAGGCCGCGAGCGTTTGCCCAGGCTGGCACAAATTTGAAGCCGCTGGGTCGCTGCGAGAGCCGGGCTGACAGTCTGTAGCAGAAACAGAGAGCGGGGGGGGGGGGGCGAATTGTCGGAGTCTGGGATGTCTGGGATCCTCCAGGTGTAAAGCTGCTGGGCCTGTTGGCGGAGCTCCATGGAGATGGTGTGCCGAGCCCAGCTGTCGGGTCGAGGCACGCGCGGTCTCTGCAAAGCGAGTTGCTGAGGTCATACCTCTCCTTCAGCGCATGCTTCAGGTTGTCCTGACTCGGTTGCAGGCTCGCTTCTAGAATTCCGGAACCTCTTTCTAGACGGAACTTCGGATGAGAAGTGCAGGATGCGGACCTTCACCTGCGGGAAGCCTGTGCTGAGACGGTGCTATAGCTCGGCCTGCTGAAAATAATTAAGCTACTGAGACCACCGCAAGCCAGCTCAAGTATAAGTATAAGTGCCGGCGTAGTTTCGGGATCCCGTTCCTGGTCGCATGTCCGGCATTCTCCAAAGTGAAGAAAATTTTCCAAACTCTGGATCATGCAGGTATTTAGACTCACGCGGGCGCTCGTTGTGGATGTGCCACTGGCTCGTGGTTTTTGCAGTGTAGCTAGCACCAAACAACCCATGCTCAATCCTCGCAGAGTTCTTCATGTTCACGAGGTTCTGGGCATCTAGCAGCTTCTGCCAGGCTGATGGATCCCCGGTCTTCGCGACTCTGCTGAAACCACTCTTTGCTTCTCTCACCGAGCACAACAAGTGGGTCAGCTCCCGGCCAAAGCTGTTCGGGATGCTGAGATGCTGTGGGGATGTCGTGGGCTTGCAGGTACAGATCGGGGCAGCATCTTGCATATGCGCCGTAATCCAGGCCGCCAGCCAGGGTCTTCTGACATGACGCTGAAATTTTGTAGGATTTGTATGCCAGGGATCTCCGCCGGCTGTTCTAAACGAGAACTTGGGACGACTTTGTGCACGATTGGTCAGAGCCACGGCGTTGAAGACACAAATTGGTGCAAGGCACTGCCTTTACTCACTGGGCCGCTCTCCTGTTCGGGTCAGGTTCAACATCTCAGCTTGCCGCTGGCCATGGCACGGCCGCAGCTTCTGAGCGCCTGCATTCACGTAATGCAGGCATTTCTGCTTCATCTTTGCTTGATTTCTTGTGGCTTGAAGCCCTGCTTCCCCGCCAGGCTGTCAACCTCACTGACTTTGATGAAGTTCTGCCATCCCTGATGCCCTGCCCTGCTCCAAAGTGAGTTGTTGCGTAGAGCCTTCCTGTGTAGAATTGCGCGTCGAAGAGAATCTGCGCATTGCAAGGCTTGGAGATTTGTCTGAACTCGACGTCAGACTGGCAGACTCGGAAGCAGGTTGGATCTGATGCGCTACCGTAGGACCATGCCTTGACTGAGTCTTGACATGCGCTGATAATTATGTCTGCAGGCCGTGGAAGTGTTGCAAGCCATCGGCGACCATGCAGAGCTTGGTTCGTCGCTACAAATCTCTACTCCTTCAAGCCCGTCAGCAACTTGATCTTGACCGTGCCGCCGTCGCCCATCGATGATTCTGGTGTGAGGTCAATGCGCCCAACGCCCCTGCAGAAGAGGCTTTCCGCTATGATGGAAGGTCTTCGAGAGGACAAGGTGCTGTCACGACGTGGGTGAAGGTTGTCCCGAAGCTTGAAAGCACTGCACTGAGGTTCGTGCAGTGCGAGAGGCGGTGAAGGATGTTCTGCTTCGGTGGTCGGTCACCGTAAAGGCCTGCAAAAAGAGTTCCTGCCTGAAAGTTGCACATGCATTCAGTGTTTTCAGTGTGTGCCAGGCAGCACCTAGTCCGACATCTACCTTGGCAGGACGGGAGAGTGAATGCTAGTATCCGCAATGGCATCCCTGCTCCGCAAGCTTGCCGACCCCCTGGAAGAACTCGAGACAGGGTTGAGCTGTCCTCCGAGAGAGGGTTGAATTTGCCTGTTCTTAGATACAGTAGTCCGAAGAAGAGCTAAAAACGCTCAGCACCGACACTGGTGGTCTTGCAAACTATTGCCTAAGTTCACGCATATCTAGGAGCAGATGTCATGGACTGAGGGTAAGCAGCGCCACGCGTCAAGCTCATGCGAAGGAGAGAGGAGCGACAGGTGGGCAAATAGTGCAGATTTGCCAGGTAGGCGTCTGCTGGGCATGATGCATGTTAGGCCACTGCGATCCAGTAGCCCTTGCGCTGTCAGGGGCCTAGTTGGTTGGGCTGGTTGGGTATAGCATTGATAACCTTCGAATCGCCCTGACCTGAAGCGAGGCACAGGCTCCCAATGCAGAACGAGAGGCGTCGCCGGATGTGCCGCCGTGCTTATGTCTTTGGAAGTCGAAGCAAAACACGCCCTGTAGGGAACTTGGCACCGAAACTCTGGAGTCTCCCTTCGGCGAGAGCCCCGGAGCACCTGCTTTTGAAATGTTGAAGGCTTGAAAGACTTAAGCTGGCTTAAGCTCTACAGAAGCGGAGGTCGACCAGCCCTTTGCCCGACCGAGACCAGGCTCAAGAATAGAAGCTTTTAAAGCTTTGAGTCCCAAGCGGCGCAGGTCCGGCTGAGCGAAGGTACTTTGGGTGCGCAAGGCCGGGTGGGACGTGTGCAGTGCTTGTGCAGCTGTAGCATGACATGTAAACGTATTTCTAAAGGTTCTAATCACTGCACCTGCCAATGGATTCTGGCAGGTGCCAGGCAGGCAAGGAACGTGCTGCTGGCATGTTGACGTGCATCATTGGTTCACACAAGCAACCTTATGGTCAAGTTCTTACTCCGCTCAAAAAACCAGACGAGATGCTGACCCTTGCTGACCTGTACTTGGCATGCACCCTTTTGTGCTATCAGCTGTGTTTTTGCCATGTGCGAACCGTGACTTGCCATGCCAGGTCCGCGCCGCCACGCGTGAACGCGACATGCGTGACCCCTTTGCGGATGCCAAGCTGGAGGATTCCTACAATCATGTTGCGTGAGTGTTTATCCAGAACTCGACAACCTCTCGTTTGGATGTACATCCAGGATACCGGCATTACATACAGTAAGCAGAGTTCGGCTCGAGACCCCTGATGTGATTGAATCGGCTCATCGGTATCGATGCCCCAAACACCCGTCGTGCGCGCTGTGTCATGCATGGCGCAGGAAGACCGAGGCGTCGATAAGCAAGAGAGGCCGCTGCCAAAGCACCGCAAGCAGTGGCAGATAGTGGCAGTGTGCTTGCATCCTGTTTAGATTCAAAAGCGGCATGTTCGGTAATCGTTGGCGTGATCGTGAGTGGAAGCAGGCTCCACGAAGCTGCTGCGGAGAAGGCGAGGGTGTAGCTGCGACGAAGTACAATCGGTACAGCGACTCGCCCTTTCACCTGGGCTAGAGCGGGTCGATGTATGCTGCAAATGCCGCCACAATCGAAGGTCCCCAGGAAGTATTTAGAAATGGCAGGAACTCACACCAAGGATGCTTTAGCTCTTCTCCTAGTTTCAAGCCGAGGGCCGAGGAGATCCAAAATTTCAGAGCCGTGCATGGCTTTGTCTCCACCCATCCATTCATAAAAAATCCTTTGCCAGAACAACCTGTTCTTTGATAGTTTAGATTCTCCCTTGCCTTCCGAAGGTGGCTCGGAACATTGCAGTGAAGAATGCGCTGAGCAACGCTGACCTCAGCACCACCAAGAAACCCAGGCTGGTGCCCGGGATGTGGCAGGGACACGGAACTGCATCGCTGTGATCAGATTGAGAGGCCGAAGCGCGAGCGTGTGTCCATCTTTAGCCAGCCAGCAAACTCAAGTTTTTTCCAATCGGTCATGAGCTTGGATACCTCTTCGTGCAGGAGGCCGTCAAACCACCTGTGTTGCAGATCGTTGCTGAGGCCAACCAGCACCCAGCGGCAAGCGACGACTTTGAAGACGTCGTCGTTGGTATGCCTGGTATGGCAGGGGTGGAGGACGAGTTTAGTGCAGCTGGAATGAGCAGCAGTGTGAAAGCTCAAGTCGACGGTGTGCTACTTGCGTGGTGTGGATGCCTCGTAAGTCACAGTACCTCTTCTTTGTGAACACCCCGAAGCCCGTAATGGCGGGGTGGGTGGGGGGCCTGACGGGGCCAGATTTTGGGGAGGAGGCAGCGGGGAGAGAGGGGCAAGTGGGGCAGACCGGTTAACTCTCCATAAGGAGGCCAATGGTAGAGCTAACGGCAAAATAGACTGCAGTCAGAAGGAACACAGTAGGCAAAACATGGCAACCTGTTATGTTCCGGAGGGTCTCCGGACCTCTTAAATTGGAAGTGACAAGCAGAAACAGCACCTACCCGCCCTTTTACCCTTGAATTTCAATCCGAGGAGCTTTCTCGGATTTGTTTGACGATATTAGTAGTCGTTCCATGTTGGGGTTCAATTGTTTCGGTTGTTGGTGTTCAGACGAAAACCCGATGAACTAACGAGACGGTTTGGAACGTCAAGCGGATATCTGAAACATCTAGGAAGTTGCGGAGTTGCGTGCTCCTACTGTTGATGCAAGGTCGGTTCATACCGACTTCTGGACAAAAGCTTTCTGTTCGCTTTCTGTTCATGTTTTAAGAATTTGCATTGTATACGTTTCGTATTGATTCCCTGTCAAATCCCACAGCAAGTACGATTTCTCGGTTAGAGTTCGCTTCCAAGCCTCTTCTTTGCCAGGACAGGCTGCTCAGTTCAGGTAGCGAGACACGAGGCCAACATTCGGAGACAGAAACTTCGGCATTTCGTACACCTGACTCTGTTGCGCCAGGCTTGGCGCGCACAGAAGGCGATCTGATGGAGGAGAGATGGGCGCAGCAGACTCCTGCTCGTGCTTGCCGCGTGTGCGTGCCCTCGTGCACATGAAGTGCTTCTAATGTGGAAACAGAATGCTGCGTTCTTTTTTGCGTTTTGTCAGGATCTGCCAGCAGTCCAGGAATCTCCGGTGCATGCCAAGGCCCGACTTGTCTTGTGTGCGGATGCCGACAATGCTAAGCTGCTGTGGCAGGACGAATCTGACCCAGGCTGGTCCCTTTCGGCGCTTGCTGAGCCACACCATGTGTCCGCAGTTAGCGGGGTCTTGCTGCAAGTCACGAAAGCTAGCGTAGCGAGACTTTCGTTTCTATCTGCGTTAGCAGTAGGGGCCTGGAGACCAGCCAGACCCCAGAATTGAAATATCGATCAAAACCCCCCATCCCTCCCCCCTCACTCTGTTGCTGGAGTTATTGATGTGGTTGGATGTGCTGGAGGTTATGATGCTATCTCTGTTGCCCGTACAGTACGCTGCTAAGGCGGTTGTGGTTGCATGTGAGGCTGTCTGGAGCCCGCCTCGCCAGCTTTGTTTCGCCTCCGTTTGGATGTGACAACGCTTGGAGCCCACCTCGTGAACTCTGTTTGCCTTCCGTTGCTTGCTGTGGTTGGATGTGATGATGCTGGCAGCCCGCCTCGCCAGCTCTGTTTCGCTTCCGTCCCTCCAGCCTAGGCTAGCTTTCGAAGGCTTTTGATGGGTGTGTGGCAGGAGCGGCCGAGCGTGATGTCTCGGTGGAGCCAGCAAACAAGGCCGGAACGATGTCAAAAGCCGTGGGGCTCTGTCTGTGCCTGGCTTTAGGCCCACTTCGTGGACACAGGCATGGCCCAGCCAACCCCGGCCCCAAGGCGTTGAGATCCCTTCACAGCTTTGCGTACCACGAACAGGCCCAGGAAACGGCGGGCCGCGGATGAACTCGGCGGAGGCCGAAACCGGCTGTACACTGTTCGAGCATCGCTTAGGCAGAGGAAGGAGTTCTGCACGAGGATCGGGCTTTCTTTGATCCGAGGTTTAACCGGAGTTTGCATAGTCAGGCGTAGTCCCTAGGTGAGCCGCAAAGCAACAAGGCATGCTCATGAGAAGTTGGTTCCATGATTCACGAGCCTGTGCTCCTTGCTTGAAGAGCAATTGATGTCAAGATGTGGTGAAGATGCTTGATTTTCCAGCAGTAGTGCTTGTCATTCATTGTAATACTTGTAATTGCGTGCTCCCTTGAAAGCCCAGGTAGACGTTCAAGCATTGGTGCACGTTCACAGGCAAGGAGCACAGAAACTATAGCTTCCAATGCATGCTCAGGCAGGCACTGGCGTTGCCACAAGAGCAAGAAAGTCAAGTGCTCGGAAGCTGCGGTCGTAGGCAGACTTGCATTTGCAGAGTTCCAGCTTGGAGCATCCACACCCGGTTTCGACCGGAATCTTGAACATCTGACGACGTGGCACGAGAAGCTTTCGCAATACTCGTGACGTTCGTGCCGCTGAGGAAGCCGGTGCCAGCCAACAGGTTGGAAGACACTGAGGACGAGCCACGGTTGCTCCCAACTGATCGTAGTTGCACTGCATGGCTGCGAGGATTCAAAGCCCAGGAGAGCAGCGAGATCAAGCCCTGGACTTGTGGCAGTCATTGATCCATAGCCATAGACATGCGTGGGCTGCTAGCCCGGTCAAGCTAGGTTCCAAGACAGCCGAAGCTCCAGAGAGGGTGGATGCGGCAGGCAACACGTTTTCAACTTCTGCGACTGCACGTGCGTGGCAGATTTCAGAGAGGTGCTGGCGATAATCCATCGCATTCCCCGACCTCCTCTGTGCCTGTGGCCCAGTCTCGTCGCACCCGACCTCGAAAGCCTGCAATGCCCACGATTGCATTATGATGTCAGGCCAGCGCAGCAAGAGGTCTCTGACGCACAGGTCTCAGCGTGGTAAGCTGAACTGCACAGCGAAGCTAAAGTCCACTGCTGGCCAAGGCATCACCTCACCTTGCAGAGGATATTCGGTCTCACCAGGCCAGTGGATTCGACCTGCACGGGCATCGCAAGTTTTACGATCACTCGTGCGATCGTGGACACCCTTGAGGTGTTGGCGGGATATTTCGACTTCCGGTTTAGGATTCGGGATACAAGGTTGGGGCATCTGATCATTCCCACCGAAGTTCCCTCGAGGCGGAGCAGAGATGATGGGGAGTCTTGGGTCCATGTTTTCATCTTTGTATCCCTTTGCCGCCAACAGCACTTTCAATGCCGAAGCTTACGGGCCCACATGCTGCAGTTTATCTGAAAATATCTGAAGTATTAAACGATCTTCCTGATGAGTTGAACGACAATGATGAAGGAAGTGATAAAACAAACAAAGGCACCAAGTCGCACAGACAAATTAACAGCAACAGCATATCTACATGGAAGTGGGGAAGTAGGTGAAGTAACATATCGATGTACTGGATGGGTGGGTGGGTGGGTGGGACGATCTGCAAGTGAGTTTGTTGCGGTACTCAGACTGCAGAGCGGTCTCGCGTGACTGTATAAGTGAGTGAGTCAGTGAGCGGGCGACTGCATGACCGGTTGATTCTTGGATTTGGGCCGGCACCCCAATTGGAGCTCGGCAGACGGACAGCAGAGTGTACAGCAGCTCCTCACCCTCGCAACGAGTGGGGTTTTGTTTGCAAGTGCGATGGGCAAATGGCAGGCGTCCACAGAGGCTCCCGAGACGGATGCTCGGCACCAAGAGTCGAGCGACACAGCCGTTCTGAAATGCTATCACCCCGCGATGCTCGCGAACCCTGTTAAATCATGTTAAATCGCCAGGGAGGCCCAGCACCTTGGCCGGGCACCCGTTCTGGTCAGCTTGTGAGTATGGCCTTGCCCAAGTCCAGTCAGAGGTGGGAAGATCCCTCAGGGCGCTCGGAGCAGCTTGCCTCAGCCGCACCTCCGCATAGGCCGTGGTTTCGGGGTCTTCTGCTTCGCTCGAGACTGGGCTTTCCATGACTTTGCAGTGCCGCATGGCCTGGTTGCAACTTTATGCCCGTCATTGCACACCTTGCGTTACCCGCAGCTGAAGACGCAGGCCTGCGGCGGGTGATCAAGAGGACGGATCCGCTCGAAAGCGGGCAGGTGACTGTCAATGTGCAGCTGTGATCGAGGAGACGACCACCCTCCTGTCGCACATCGAGGCTTTGAGCCAACGCCTCGCTGTTTTGGAGGACTGGCCTTAGTTTCAGGTTGCTCTCTCCCCTTCTTTGCCATCCCTCTACTCTACCCCGCCCCCCTCCGACTCGTCTCACGATGTCAGCAGAGGACGAGAAGCGGCGCTCCGACAGGCAAATGACCGAAAGGCACTGGAAGGGATGCCATTGTGATTGCAAGATATTGCAAGCTGCATGGCCGTCGTGGATGTCGGTGAAGGCTGCAGCAGCTGGTTCGAACCTGCGAAGGTGCCATGCCTAAGCTATCTTGAGCTGGTGAGATGAGTTATAGTTTCAGTAAGCTGCATCACCTCTCTGTACTTTAGTCAAGCTCAGTGTCAATAATCTGAGGCCAAGGCGAGCTTATCGCCACTCAGCAGCAGAGGATAGAGACGCAGGCCTGACAGGGCAAGCTATTGGGTTGCAAAGATTGCTGGAGTCGCGAAGACAAGCTGGCTTGCGGGCAGGAGCAGCAGATGCAACTCATGGAGGAGCGCATTGCTCAGCAGGAAGACGAGTTGGCGCAGATGGACAGCCTGTGAGCCGCTTGCACCGGGGAGATGTGTTCCGTTGAGTCCCCGGATGCAGGACCAGCAACTCCAGGAGCTGAGCTGCTCGTGCTCTCGCGCATGGCACGCGCGCTGCTTCCTTGACGTAGACGGATGAACAATTCTCAGGAGCAGCAGCTGCAGATCCAGCAGCAGGCTCCCAGATTTCCTGCACCTGCTCATGTCGCTCGCTTTTGCTTTCGAGGACCAGCGACTGGAGCAGAACGACCAAATGCTCAATGAGCATCAGCAGCAGCTGGAGCAGCAGGAGCTGCGTTGGCATAACTGGGGAAGCCACTCACGAGAGCGTGACGCAAACACAGGTTATTACAGAGGTTACATGGTTACACTGTTGTTAAAGATGGTGCTCATCACGATGTTCGATTTTGTCGTCGTCACTGTCAACAGTTTCCAGAGAGGGTTCGGCAGCAAGTACCTGGAACACCCGGAGACTCAAGCCTCCGTGAGCTTGTCAACGAGCATTAGTGAGTTTGCAAGTGGTCTGACAAGGAGCAGGAGTTGGAGAAGCAGATCTTGCTCACTGACGCCTTCATCAGCACGGCCTGCTGGGTGTACATGGGGCGACATGTTGGGCCACCTTCCCGGTCCTGCTTGCAAGCGCTCCTCCTGGACACGAGACAGGGCAGTGAGGTTGTTCGTAATAAAGGTTTTGGGGAGACAGCAGTTTTCATCTCGCTTCTCTCCGGCAGGCATCATCCAGCAGCAGCGTCAAGCCCGCGAAACAGGTCAGATTTGAGCTAATTGGTTGTTGCAATGTCCGCCCATCCTGGACATCTTTTCAGGCCTGGACGGCAGAGGACATTTGCTGTCTTGGGCATTGCCAAGCAAGGCACCTGCCAGTCCGCATCTGTTACGGCAGGATGCCGGGACAGGTTCTGGCAATCCCGCAAAAAGGTGCGATCTTGCTTGTTGTCACTCCAAGCTGAGCCCGAAATTCGCCGCACAAGTCACCCAAAGTATCGCAAGGCAACAAGCAGAAGTATCCTTGCACTTGTTACATGGTACCGTGCAGGTGGGCAGCCGATTGGAAAGACGGAGCCGAGGCCGGGTGGACGAGTGCCCAGTTGCCGGTGCTCGAGTAGACGACACTGAGATCTGGAAGGCCACTCGCATCCCCGGTGCAACGGCGGACGGTGTGCGCAGCTCAGCTCCGGGAACGGTTCAGGCCCAGCCTTGGCAATCCGTCATTCTGTCTTTGAGGCAGCGGCGGTTGGGGCCGGCGGCGCTCTTGCTGGTAGCAGCAGCGAACGACCTTTGGCAAGCCCACCCAGCCTTTCGCCGCGGCACACTACACAACTGAGATCATCCGGAGAGAGAGAACTTATTCCTTTTTGATGCGCTTGTTGATGCTGCTTCTTGCTGTCACATGGCCTGCCGAGGCACTTGGCCGTGCGAAGGTGCAGCGAGATCAGATTCCTGTGCAGCTCGCACCGCTGGAAGCGAAAGATGATTGTTCCATGCCGCCTCAGGTTGACACAGGTGCAGCGACAAAGGCCTCGTCTCAGATGCTCTGCTTAATGTGAAGCGGACATCCGAATGTGGGCAAAGACATAGGTGCGGGATTCATCTGATGGCGGCCTACACAATAGATCCGACCGCTGACAAGGAAAGCTGGCGGACAACTGTGGGATTCTGTGATGGAACTCTGTTCCGAAAGACGTTTTCTGGAGGCTTACAAGCAGGCCGAATCCGAGCTTCGGGCACGTGTCGTGTAAGTGTGAGCGAGCTGAGCAATTGAAAACTTCACGGGTCTCGCGGTCAGGTCATCGCTGAGCCTGAAGAGACATGCCTGCTCCGACTCATGAAGCACACAGGCCTTCAATCCAGCATGCCATTCCGCTCATATTCAGCAGAAGATGCGCATTGACATTTGATACACTGCCATGTGTCAATGCCTGATGCATTGAAGCACCGTCGAATGCCCTCTCGAAGGCCCGATCGTGGATCGACTGGATGCTGAGAGCAACTCCAGACTGCCCGCGGCACAGTCAAGCGGTCCGGTGTGTGCTTGTGTAGAAGACATGCTCGCGTAGTCGAGGATCCGGCGGCTCATACACATCCTCTCGTCACCGGCGAAGGTCCGTCCGCTCTGCCTTAATATTGCTTTCCGAGACAGGGTCAGCTTGAAACCAAACTCTATGGGTGACCTGAGATCTCCCAAGCAGTGTGTAGGCATCGACAATTGAGGACCCAGCTGCTACCAGCATCGAGCAGATCTTCTCATGGCTGTGGCAGGCGGATGCTGCATTCAGGAACATCTCTGAGAGTAGAGGAACGTGGCCTGCTACACCTGGGAGTGAAGAAATCTTAGAGTGATCTGCGAACTACCCAGAGTGCCCATGAGAGGAACATGCGACTGTCATCACGGCTCTCGGAGTCCTGACGCGTTGGGGTAAGCTTTGGCGAGATGTTGATGCTTGCTGTGAGGCTCTGAACCAGGGCATCCACTTCACAGCCTCGCAAGTTGAGGATCTCGTTTCCGCTCTCCAAAAGGACAGATCCTCAGTATGTTCATCCTTCAGAGCACCTTACATCTGCGCAGGACGTAGGCTGTCCTGCGATGTGCTGCGTGCGTCCGCGTCAGGTCTCCTCTGCCCAGTCGCCACTCAGCGGCCCAGAAAAGGCAGAAGCAGCACAGCTGCTGCAACAGGCCTGTGCCGATGCACATTACTGCGCAGCAATGTTCTCGTAGGGTAGTTTGTCCAAGAGGCCCAATGCCTTGAACAGAAGCCAATGTAAACTAATGCGACAGGTTTACATTTTCTTTCAAGAAGTCGTACTTGCTTGACAAGGTCTCAACCCACCGCCGAGCTTGATGTCACGCTCAAGCCGATCCCCGACTGTACATACAGTGTTGTGTACGTGATGCAGACACGCACACTGTACACATGGGTCGTGAAGGTGCGGAGCACACATCTGCCGCATTGCACGGCCTTCGCTTCTGGCTTGTCTGGAAGGGCTCCTTATCCGTTAACGTTGTCTCACGGTGGAAGCGAAATTCGGCTTTTAGCTTTGCATTGCGATGCACGACGCCGCATTGCCGCCTCCGCCAGCTTGCAAAAGCTAGGATATCAAGCTGTCAAGAGTCTCAAGTCCCTTGGAGGACAGGAACGCTAGGCCGCTCTGCAATTGCAGCTGCGATGGGGTACTTGGAATGGGCATATCCTGCTCGAGCTTCCAAATAGCAGCCGACACAAGTTTATCGCGAAAGAGGGGCAGCCGCGGCCTTGGGACTTGTTGGCGGAGCTGACCGCAGAGAAGCTCACAAAAGCAGGAGTTGCTGCGCCGAGGTTATGGGGGCGAAGCCTTCAAGGGGTTTGTCGTCTCAAGAGCAAGCTCCTGAGAAACTTCGACACTGACCACCCCCAAAAACCAAGTGTGAAGTGCTCATACAGTCCATACAGTCTACATACGCTGGCGTGCACGATCGAAGAAGGCGCTGTCAGACGGCTATCAGTGTGCAATGGGGCTGTAATATGGAATGGCGTGTCAACTGTAGGGCAATCTGTTCCGCATGTAGACTGCGCTGCAAGGATCTGGAAGGCATGTACGAAGGCACTTCATTGTTGCCCGACCTGGCTGAGGTTGAAACAGCCGCTGCTTCCGCTGACGATTCACTGTCCTGAGCCTGCCTCAGCCCCCCAGCTTGTCGGTCCTCTCTGCAGATTTGCTGCAACTACTGATAAGCTGTCGTCGTTGTACGATGTGTTCTGATGATGTCAATGGACTTGCTTGGTGAATTATCTTTTTGGTTCTTGTGGGCCAGGCAAGCCAGACAGTCAGCTTCAAGCACATCTTTCTAGACGAGGTTAGACTGGCTGGAAGCGTGTTGTTGCAATTACTGTTGTGAAGAGAGATTCAGAGTGATGCCATCCCCGATGCCCCCGAAAGCCGGCCTTCTTGTGCCGCCTTGTTGTCGTGAGTGTATGTCTAGTTACCTTTTGATTGTTGTGAGGTTGTGAATCGTATTTTTGCATTTGCCGAAGCTCCGTGGCCAAAACAAGGCGACGCGGACCAACTGGGAAGTCAAAACAGCCTAGAAAAAATCCTCCTGCCATCCACCGCTCAGCGTTCACAGGTATGTACTGCCCAGCCCTTGCCCAGCCATTTGCCGAAGATCCGAGTTGCATTTGTTTGAGGAAGACGCAGAGACTTAGCGCAGAATCGTTTGGTGACTCCATGCCGAACAGGGTCTGAGCCGTCTGTGTGGACCTGTATGGAAAAAGTTCGGAAGAGGTGTGCTCTCTTTGGGCTACGAGTCCCCAGCGACAGCAAGAAGATCAGCATCCAAGGTCCGTAACCGATGGACGGAACACAGGTGCCTTGCGACACCCTGACCAAGAAGTGAGTTGTTGCTTCTACCCGCATCTCCCGCCATATTGTTTTTTCCAATACGGGGAACAGAGCCGGTGGAAGACTTTGAGAAGGGTTGCACGGCCCCTCTGTCGCCCAGGCCTTCAAGCCAGAAGCTGCAGGCGGGAACGGCAGGAACCGTTCCTTTCAGCGAGCCCAGAGTTCGCTTTAAACGCCTAGGCAGCTGGTTGAGCACGCAGCCTCCTCGAAGTGGGGGTAGCCTGCCATCAGCCCCAGCCAGCTTCAAGGCCCTGCGATGAGCGCGCTTCTCGGCTTTTTAAGTTCTGCTCGCTCACTGCAGGCCGGAAAGCCCAGAAAAACCAGAGACTTCATCGACGGGGAAATCACTCTCCACTCCACGGGCACTAGGAAGGGGTCACGTCTCGTGAGGCCGTGGATAGGACTTCCTACCCCTCCTGTCGAGGCACGTTTGGGATGGGGAGAGCCTTGACCCGCGTTTCGTCACCGAAGAGCAGACGACGCACGCTATCAGCGGGCAGGCTGGACCTCCAAAAACACGATGTTCATGCCATTTCATGCCCATGCTGCGCATCATGGGCTCGCAGCAGCTCTCTCTGCTCTGTCGAGGTGGCAACACTCGTCTGCCGCTATGTGGAAGAGGGAAGGGACAAAGCGGAGGCTTTAAGCATGAACTGCGCCGACGCATTCTAAGACTTAAAGAGCCGAGTGCCACGACCCCACCACAATCAAACTTGTTTCCCCAGGAGCTTTTGGACTTTTTCAGCATCGGAACATGTAGGAGAGGCATCGGAATGGTTTTGAACCCGTGCCTTGTCAGGCCCTGACAAAGAATGACGACGAGTTCCATGAGGCACCAAGATCCGAAAAAGCGGGTGATGTTTGATTTGAATATATTTTGATCTTAATGGGTGTGTCAACATCAACCGGTGCTTATGTGGAAAATCGCGACCGTAAGAACGCTTGGCGGGTCGATGCCAAAATGGGCACGCGTGGGCCACCTTATTCAGTAGCGAGACTCGCTCAAGGTTAACCGGAGGGTTACGCTCCTCTGGCGGGGGCATCTTGGGAGCGTCGCCCCACTCCAGAAGTTTGGTGTGACCGACGGATGGGCCCTGCTGCCTCTTCCATTGTTCTCAGTATCGTCCCAGAGTCCGTACTTCTCCAGTGCGACCGACACAGTTCTACTTCGCGAGGTCCCGACCTCACAAGCGCATAGTGCGCCCCAGCATCCCCCGTCGTTGGAGCCCGTGCAACGTCCTTATGCTACAAGTCTGCGTCGGCAGCAGCCATGCGCACCAGGTTGCACCAGCAGTACTGCAGCATGCTGTGGCTGCTTTGCCCGCCCCGGTGTGAGCCGGTCGATCCGGTCGTGACTCGGCCCGTATGCCCACACTGCGGAACCTACTCGTACAGCAGTAGTCTGATCGAACAAACCCTTTGCACGGGAAAACATGAGAAAACAAGCAGCTCCGGGCAGGGGAGCATGAGGTAAGAGAGGCTGAATGCTTGTCACTGGGAAACACGGAGCTCATTTGCACAGATCTGGGTCGACGGACGTAGCCCCATGTGGTGTGGGAGTGCAGGCAGTACGGTAAACAGGTCGATGTGGGCATTCCGTTCCCTTTGCTTCGCTCTTCGACAAATTTTGCATGCGTGACGCAAAGACCAGATGTTTACCACAGGTGATGAATCTGCGGCTGATATTGGTTCCCGCAGACATGCAGTACCCGAAAACCCTTAAAGCAGTTTCCAGGGCTCGTCAGCAACCCAGGTTTAGTTATCCTGTCAGTAAGCTGGTAGGCTTGGCTCATTCCAAATCGCGCTGCGGTTGCAGGACCACTTCCTGCGTCGAAGATGGTGTTGCTGTCCTCGCAGAAAAAAGAAGCCGGATTTGTCGGAAGCTTGGTTCCCTGCCCTTAAAAGACACAGCTTCAGGAGCTGATTTTTTTGACGCTAAGAGAAGCGCCTCAGGAAGCTGTTTTTCAAAGGCTGGTTGCTGTTGCTCGACAGGTCCCATGAGGCCGTATTGACCTTTCTGAACGACATCTCCGATTCCCTGTATTTTTGCAAGCAGGCGGAATGCCAGTGATGTGCTTGACGATGAACCAGCACATCAGACAAAGCTTGGCCGAGGTAGTTGTACTTTGCGCCATCTACATCGAGCGCTTGATTGAACAGGCTCTGGAAACCCCAAACCTAAGAATTGGCTGTACGTGGAGCTGTGAACACTGGGGTCTGCGACTCAGACCGACACCGTTCTGACGGTTGGTAACTGGCGTTCGCTTGTCACAGCTGGATTGCTGATTGCATCCAAGGCCAGATCATGAAAGGGGGTGTGAAGCTACTTGCATCGATTTGAACCATGCTGGCGAGGTATGGGAGGACATTCATCCCTGGAACGCCGACTTTGAAGAATGCCTTCTGGAAGTTGCAGGCTTTCGGCATCCGTAATCATGCCGATCGAGCAGAGGGAAGTAGCAAGCATCGCCAGGCATTCGCTACAAATGCGGCGCGCTGTACCGATTGGAATCGATGTTCCTGGAAAAACTGCAGTGCCACTGCTCGGATGGATGCAATCTATGCAGACGCTCCGATGACTGCGTCACTGCAGATTCTTCAGAGTCTGAGGTGGAAGGTGTTCGTCGATGCCAAAATCTATGCTGCTTACTTCTTCTCCTTGATGGAAGGAATTAGGCCAGGTGACTGTGACCGTGAAGCCGTGCCGTCTGATATCACGCTAAATTGGAATGGACAGGCAGCATCGAAGCCAGAAAATAAAGCAGCGAGCTCAAAGGCGAAGGCCATGGGCTTACGTCCAGCAGGAAATGATGGGACATGCACTTCGAGAATCTTCGAGATGCGCATCAATAGATCTACGACCTTACTGGTTTGAGGCAAGTAATTATCGAACATGTGTTGCACTGCCATAGTCGTGCTGTGTTGCATAGAAGGCATATAATTAGTTAGTTAGTGCAAAATATATTGCAGGGTGTTACCTTGTATTCTTGTGAGTCATGCTGCGAATCAGAAAGTCACTGTTCCCGGAAATCACGCATGGCCATGCTTCGAAGAGTTGACCGATTGGTGATTGCGGTGAGGTCTATGTCTTGAAGGGGCAAAGTATGCCAAGACTCAACCAGTATAGTTGGCAGAGTTGCCGGTATGACAGAAGCAACACGTTGATGCAGGCACCACTCTGCGGCGGGCTGAGTCACCAGCTGAAGAGCAGCAGCGCGGAACTTGCACACAAGGGCTGTGACCCTTCTGCGCGCAAGGACTTTGGTCCCATCAAGGAGGCTGGCCCGCTTTCTCCCTCATCTGGTGAGGATGCTTCTGTCGAGCAAAAGCATCGAAAGCCCAGTTCAGCAATGCGTTCAGCTTATCAGCGTTCGGTATTCCCATCTTTGGTCCTGCCTTGCCGACCCGTACTTCATGTCCACTCTGTCTGTGGCACCACCCTTAGAAGAAGCAGCTTATGTCTGATAAGTGCCTCGTTGCAAGAACAGGACGAGCACTTCGGCGAATCGGACTCAGAGTTGGACTTGGAAAGGCCATCCAATGAGAGACGGAAAGGCAAGTCCCTGCCATTCAACTTCCTTGGAGGGGCCTCATGTCTCCGGAGCAGCGCGGAACCTCGGAGCGCAGGACTGCCGGGGACATGGGCCCGGAAGCAACGCGGACCCGTAAGCCATAAGTAGGATCTCTAGAACTATAGGGACTATGCGGCCATCAGCAGCCTGAAGCAAAATTGCCCGGTCAGCTCCAGCTCGCTGTCTTCTGCGCCGATGGCCCAGCTGCACCTGAGCTCACCTGCGTGAGCTCTGCATTCTGCCTGTGGCGGTCGTGTGGTTCTTTCAGGTCGCCAGACGTTCGTGGCAGGGATGAGGTGGAGAGTTGTCTCAGTGGTTTCAACCTTATGATGCTTGCGTCCGGTGCAAGGCATGACCCATTGAGGGACGGCTTTCATGTTGAACTTTGAAGTGCGAAGATGTTTGCAGCCTAAGGTGAGTCACTTCATAGTGCACGTGATTGCTGGCGTCTCGATGCCGGACAGAGTGTCATCTACCAGTAGCTGTCACCAGCCAACATCGTACCAAAGAGTATGCTCTACACTTCTTGTTTGCTGGCTCTGCTGTAAGCTGCATCGACAGGAAATCCACACATTGGCTCTCTACGGCCAGATGCACAGCAAGTTGCGCGAGGGTTTAGTCGCATTTGATGGAGCTTCTCGTGGTGTGTCGTGGTGCCGAACCCTGCGCTCTGACAGACATGCGCCACGAGCTCTAGCACCTTCCCGACACATACCTCAGAGCGAGGACGACATGGGAGCATTACAAAAGAAAGATCGATTGCAAGAGACGTGCAGGAACTGCTTCGGGTCCACAAGTTGGTCTCACGGACCACAAGCATGTTGCCGACTCAGACTGGCGGTTACTGGCAGTGCTTGTTGATGGCAGTAAGTGCTTGCAAAGGTTTGGTCTCCCCAAGGGCCGCCACCCTGAGGCCTTGCATGCATGTAGCTGCCTGCATTTGTGTTGAGACTCCGAGCCGTGACAACCAAGGCACTGACACTCTCCGGAGCGACCGGAAGTCAGTTGAAGACGGAGCTCCTGCAGTACTTGAAGAAGAGGGGTGAGGAGCTCGCAGTCACGTTGGACCCTAGAACAGATATCGCTCCTGAACCCGATTAGAGCATTGGCAAAATCTGGAAGGAGAAAACCACCGCCGAGGCCGAAAGCGTCGTATGAAGCCACTTAAGAGGGGGAAATCATCTCAACTTGCATGCAACTCGCAACTTATGAAGAATGCTTTTGAACAGGCCTCCGCAGCTCGTGGATTGAGCATTCTGGAGGAGGCTTTTGCATGAATACATGCTTTACATGTCATGTGGACCATTGCAATGCAATTATCGCTGCGGAGGAAGGTGCATGGTCAGACAATTCTCCCAGCAAGTGATGCGCTTGCCGCGGTTCGTGGCATGGAGCACAGCATAGGCTGGGTGGATTCACAGTGAAGGCAGGGCCAAAACACCCATTGTACCACCTGCGCCTTAAGTTTACAGTCTACAATTTTCTCGTGGACTTGGCAGGACCCGCATTGGATTGGTTCTTACTACTGCAGCAGGTCCAAAGTAAGGAGGAGAAAACCAAGTAGAACGGGACGTGGACTTACACTTGGCCTGGGCCTGGGCTATAGCTGCCAGTCACTAGGCTTATCGGGAATACCGGTTTCTTCTCACAGTCTCGCGCCGACGAGACCTAAACGACGAGCAATCGAGAGGCACGATGAATTCTGAACAGGTCCATTTAGGTCCCGTGAAGAGGAAGTAAGGGAAGACAGAAAGACAGCAAACGAGAGAGAGCAAGCGGAGAGTACTGTGCGGGGCTCCCCCTGCTCTTTTGGCTGTGCTGAAGAGGAGACACTTTGCAGTAGAAGCTCTGCCATGCCAAGCACCCTTGCAGGGGTACAGTACACACCGAAAAGAGTAAAACAAGTACCGTAATCCGGGTGGGACATCAGTTGAAGCATGCGTTTCAGTGACCTTGGGTTATCAATTTTGAAGCCAGGTTTTCATTGCCTGGCTGTCCGCGCTAGAGTCGGCTAGGTGTTTCATTCAAGTTCGCAGGCCTTAGGAATGTCAATATGGCAAGCAGCATTTTGCATAGACGGCCCCTCCCCGGCCATGGCCCGGTGAATACACCCAAGGCACGGGCAGCTGCCCTGTACAGTCAACCAATGCAAACCGAGTCAAACCGGCATAGCTGTGTAGCTGCTCACGGGCACTCGTCTGCTTTGTCAAGATGCCCCAATCGTTGGAAGTGCCGTGCTGCAGCCAATTCGTGACTCTTGCAACTAAGCGTTGCAAGATTCCGAAAAACAGCCTAAACGGGAGGCCTTCGAAAAGTGCCTGCCGTTGCTTGGTGCAGCATAGTCAGTGCAGTCTTCGGCTTCACATTGACATGGTCTTGTGCGCAGCAGCTTACTCACTAAATTTCAAAGAGTCAGAGCAAGCATTGACCGGGCGTGCACATGAAATCGTGCACAAGCATTCGACATCCGGCGATCGAGTGTCTCGACTAGCACTGGCCACGACATGACCTTGACGACGCATGGATATGCCGTCCCGCCGCAGGCGACTTCAGGGATTTGCTGCCGGTTTCCAGAGTAGGGTCCTGTGATGGGTCTGGGTTGGATGCTGGTTCTCCACACAGTCTAATTGTTCTGCCTTCCTTTACCTGCAACGCCACAGAGATGCTCGCATTCAGGGCCTCAAGATGCTCCATCATCCATCAGATGATGGCAAGCCAATGCCTTTTCCGTCGCGAGCCGACGGAATGTGCCGCCCCGAGAATGTCGAGCAAGCTCCCTCTGCATTGAAAGATTGATGTCACAGTTTGATGATGGCTTCTGAGGTCCATGAACGTCGTGAGGCCTAAGGACGTTCCCCGTGGCAAAATTTCGTGTGAGAAAGACTACCAGCAGGCTGGCCGTCAGTGATGGTCATCTCAGCTCGTTCGGCCGTTTCTTGTCAGGCGCTGCTGGCAAGTGATATACGCGGAGCTGTGCCATCGCCAACAACCTAGAACTGTGCAGATATGGTGCATTGTGGGGCCGGGGCATGTCATCTGAGGTTTATGACGCAGAGTCTGCATCTCGAAGGGCCGCCTCACAAGGCGGCAGAGTGCTGAATCAAGGCAGTCGCGAAGAAACCGCGTTCACGATGCCTGAAGGACTTCATCAAAGGATCTGTGGCCAGGAGCAGCTATCCTTCAATCGAAAAGCAGCAAGATCTATCCTTGACAACCCACGACGTTGATGGTGCGCAGCCAAAGGCCGGCAGGGTTCCAGATGCTTCCCGCGTTTCTGCGTGCATCGGAATCTGCAAGTGCTGTGGCACTAAATCACCAAGCAGCTCTCTAGTTTAAAACCTTGACTAAGGCACCAAGGGAATACAAGGAGGGGGGCCGAAGACATTCTTCCATCGGCATGCTGCCACAGCTATGACCATCGTGATCGTCGATGTTTTTCGGCATCTTATTTCCCCTCTTCATCGTCATCCATTTCGTCTTCACTAGGTTCATCGTCGTCGTTTTTGCTTCACCATCTCCATATTAACCATCGACGCTGCTCTGCGAGGCAGTAGTATGCAGTACTGTAGTCATCAATCAATCTGGCGACCATTAACCGTTCCATCAATCATCGTCGTTGAAGTCGCACTTGCAACCTTCACCATGCCATTCAAACTCAAACCATCCGCACCGCCCGCTACTGCCCGACAGCCTACCACTGCCACTACCAGGGCCAACAGCAATGACACGAAGCATCAGCAACGACCAGAACCAAACCTGTGTGGTGCCGCAAGTGCCCTTTTCCTTCAATCTGCTTGGAGGCCAAAGTCTTCAAAACTACTCGGCAAACAAATCCGTTGACCCCGAGGCACGCACGTTTGCTTCTGTCGGGTTTCCGGCGCAGCACATCGTAGCACGATGTCCTGCAGGAATCCCGCCTTTCTTATTCATATTATGACTACTGCTGCTGGAAGGTATACACTACAGTCGGCCCCGATGGATGTTCCACCACCCAACTCGACGCGCACTCACGAGCTGCTTCAGCGAGACACCATGAGCTTCAAGGTGAGCCGCACAACACATTGTTTTGATGAATGTTTTGGTGTTGCGCCGCGGAAGTTCCAGGGCACATCATCGTCGCGAATACCGATGAGGGACTTTCTGCTCGGATGGTAGATGCTTCCAGCCTTCTACTGCCGTCTCCGGATCTGTGGTTACACGGGTACACCGCCTGAATGAGCCCAGCCCAGGACTATACGTATAATCCTGCAGAAGGTCATGATGTTGAGTGACTCGCCTGCCACCAGATTGCCCAGACATGCGAGCATGTTCATGGATGCAGTCGGTTGAAGAAGAAGCCGAGGATGTCCCAGCCAAATGTCAGAAACAGAGTCAATGTGACAACGCCACGGGAAACGTTGAGGAGGGCTGGCTGCTATGTGCGACTGACCGAGGTTTCCCCAGTGCCCTACGAACCATGACTGATGTAGCCACATGTAGCATCTTCCGTGCAGGACATTGGAACGTTCAGGAGAAAGGATACTGTCTGGCAAGTACGTTAGTACTGGCAACAGCCCCATGGCCCCAGACTACAAAGTGCCAGACCCAGACTTCTGAACTGAATCGCTGGATGCCAGTGTCTGAGTGCTCCTTAGATTGCTCCAGCAGCCGTCTGAGTAGTCTGAACACACCAAAAGCATCATGGTCGGCCCACTCCACGAATTGGTAGGCCGGAGCCCAACCTTGCAAACCGCAACACCCAGACTCTGTAGAGATGCAATGATGATGCCGCCATGGCCTGGCCATGCCTGGCCTCTCTCTGCCTTTGCCTCTCACCGTCACTTTGGTGTCTGGAGCTTTCATCGTCTGGTCCCTGTCCAGGCCTGTGATGGATGGCGTCCAACATCAAAGTGCCGTCCCTGTGTCTTTGCGGCCAGCCAGTCCAAGCTGGTATGTTTTGGTTTTTTCCAAGGTGTTCATCCGCGTACGTCCTGGACGACCAGCTCCAGGGTTCAAGGCAGGTGCCGGAGAATAGAGAAGCATTGGCCTTTTGGCGCCCCTGGCCCTGCCTTTGCCCCTGCTTTTTCAGGTTGATGAGGAGAGGAAGACTTTGGTGTTTGAACATGAGAAGACTTCGCCGGAGACTCTGCCGTCACACTGCAGCCGAACCATTTAGCCTTCAGCGACGAGGCCAGATTATGATGTGAACAACCAAAAAGCAGCTCATTCTTTCCAGTTCGACGGAGCTCGGCGCCCTAAATCGGCTTTGTCTCTGTACCGGATCACACGGCATGTGACTTTCATCTCTGCTGTCAGCACTGGTTGCATGCCAGGTTCTCGGTATGCAGATCAAGCAGCAGGACGTCTTGGATGTCATTGCCAAGCCGGTCATCGAGGCTCGCGTTTTTCGCGAGGGATGCTGCTTTCTGATCCGACTTACTGGCTTGGATTCTTCAGGATGTGCTCCAAGGCGTCAATGGAACCATCTTCGCCTATGGTCAAACAGGTTTGGGATTTGCACTTGAGCAAAAGGGTCCCTTCGAAAGAACCCGATGTTTTCGAGGCAGTGGCAAGACCTTTACCATTACGGGCGGCGCTTCGAACTACGAAGACCGTGGCCTGATTCCTCGCACAATCCGGCTCATGTTCGAGGCCTTCGAAAGCTTTTTTGTAAGATGGGCAAAAGCACAAAGCGGCCCAACGCTGGTCCCAGGCATTCCGCAAAGGGCCTGCCCAGTATCGCATGTACATATCGTACCTGGAAATCTATCAGGAGTCAGATCCGGCAACGTTCTACACAAGCTTCGGCAGACTCCTGTCACTCAGACTGGGCACTCTCTGTGATAGGACAGCGGCTATGACCTGCTGCGCGATGACAGTGTGCCTGACTCGGCAGCTGTTTCTGATGATCGCACAACGAAGCGTTTGACGTTTACCGCCAGGTCAGGCGTCTTGAAGATTTGCCTAAGGTGGCGCTGCGCGAGGCTCGCTCTACTTAGCCTGAACACGGGTGATGCACAACTCGCATCTTTTTACTGCAGGATGAAGATGGCAATATGCACCTGCGCAACCTGTCGGTCAACCTTGCGGCTTCAGAGGAGGTCTGGATGACGCCGTGATTCCATTTGCGGCTATCAGCTCTGATGCACATGTCAGTGTGTGTTGCATGAGGACATCTTTCGGGATTCGGTTGAAGTGTTTGGCAGCAGCCATGACGACTTTTCATGGCTCTCGCAGGATGCATTGAATCTGCTGTTCCTGGGCGACACAAACCGTGTTGTGGCTGCTCTGGCCCCAGGTTTTGCATACCCCAGCCAGCATCTTCTGACTCTTCCCTTGAGGAGACTCCAATGAACGATGCCAGTACGCGATCGCACTGTTTATTCA